AACTTTTCTAATGGTCCGTCCCTAAGTAAAAGGTTTTATGACGGGTGAAGTCGAGCACAAGCTAAGCCAATTTGCTGATGACACGACGTTGATACTCGATGGCTCAGTGGGCTCTTTTCGTAGAGCAATCGAGGTTCTAGGTGGGTTTCAAGTGATTTCTGGCCTCAAGGTAAATTATGAGAAAACCAAAGTGCTCTGGGTGGGTTCGGCAAAAACCAGAGGCCCTATAGAGTGCAACAAGCCTGATATCTGTGGAGGGGAAAGTCTTTGCATTAGGTGTGTGGTTCTCAACGGACAGAAACGTAATGCTCCGTTCTAACTATGATGAGAGGATTGGGAAAATAAAAAACGTTATTGAAACATGGCAATTTAGGAGACTCACCTTATTGGGAAAAATCACTCTTATCAAAAGTCTTCTCGTCTCTCAACTCATTTATATTTTGACTCCGCTCCCTACTTATACAAAAGCACTGCAAACTGTCAACAAACTTCTTTTTGAGTTCCTTTGGGACGGTAAAGGCGACAAGATTAAAAGAGAGCATATCATAAGGGATTATGAGCAGGGTGGTTTGAGGATGATTGATATACATACGTTCAATAAGTCTCTCAAAGCATCCTGGATCAAGAAGTACCTTGACCCGACAAATAATGGAAGATGGAAGTTTTTCTTTGATGTTAATCTTAAAATGTATGGTTGGAAATTTATTTTCTCTTGTAATCTACACAAAGATGATATTCCACTGTTAAAAATACGTAATCCTTTTGTATGTGAGGTCATGTCAATCTGGGCGGAATTGCATTTCTCTGATGCTGTAGCCATCTCCATTGCAAATGTGGGCGATCAGATTATTTGGCTTAATTCATTGGTAAGAATTGACAATCAGCCTGTATTCCGTAAACACTGGATGGACCATGGTGTAAAATTTCTCATCTATTAGATGAGGGTGGGAACCTCCTCGGATATGATGCCATGAAATCAAATTTTCAGGAGTTAAATTGGTTAGAATATTGTAGTATAGCTTCAGCAGTCAAATCACTTATAAATAAGGTGCAAAATGAACCGACGTACGAGGTTGTTTCCACCGAGGGAACATCTATAACTGAATTAACATCTAAAAGTAAAGTTAACAACTTTATTTATAAGTCGCTACTGAGAAAAAGAATCTCTACACCCATTAGAAGCCAAGAGAAGTGGCTCAGTGACCTTTAAGTCGGAAATGCATGTGATATTGATTGTAAAGATGCATACACAATCGCTTTCCACTGTACGGCTTCTACAAAATTAAGAACTTTTCATTATAAGTTTTTGCTTCGGAGGATTGCTACCAATGATTTTTTAAAGAAAATTAATTTAAAGCAATCGGACAAATGCTCTTTTTGGCAAAGGGAAATAGAGTCTATATCTCATCTATTTCTGAGATGTTCGGCAACAATTGCTTTTTGGAACAATGTTAAACAATTTTTAATTCAAAAGGGCCTCAAGAGTACTGCACTAACCGATTTGCATCTGACGGGACTCTCTAAATTTGCACCCTCTACCGCCATTGATATCGTTTTTCTTATTGGGAGATATCATGTACATGTGTACTCGAGCAAACTTGCAGGTACGTCTCCCTCCATGACTCTTTTTAAGGGCAAACTAAATTCCGTCATTGAGATGGAAAAACAAGAAGCACTCCGCTGTAATTCTTTCACCGTCTTTTCAAACAAATGGAAATTTTTCCTCATTTAAATTTGTTGCTTGCACTCTAGCTAATCGCTTTGACTTAGCCATGTCCTGCAAAGTTGAGCCATCCACCGTCCATCGTTCACCGTCCTTTCCTTTTATTGCAAGTGGCTAAGCGAATTCAAGCATAAATGTAACCTCAGCTATTTTTATGTTTGTTTCGTCAAGTTGTAATGTGTATACGTTTTGTGTGATGTAAATTTAGCTCAAATAATAAATTAAATAAAAATAAAAATAAAAAAAAGTAATGAGGTAAAGGAATCAGCTAATCAAATCCAAAAGTGAATGAAACTACTGCTACGTTCGCATTCCGCGAACAAAAGCGCCCCCACCCGCCCTCCCCATCCCACGCCTCCGCTGACCGTGTGTAAATCGTCTAAAAAAACTAGTGAGTCTAAAGTGGATTAGGTTTTTCTTTTCTTTATTGGTAAATGTTCATCATGTTCATGATTTTTCATTTTTCTTCGCTATTTTTCATTAAAACAAAACATGAAAAATTGTCCGTTTTGTTTGTTTGTTTGTTTGTTTTCTATTTATTGAAAAAATGGGAAAAATTATTCGGAGCACAGGCGATAGGTATGCCATTTTTCTATTTTTTCATTTTTTGAACACAATGAAAAAAATGACAAAATGGTGCGAATAAATATAATCTTTTTCATTTTTCCGTTTTTCTATTTTTTGGGAAAAATGGAAAAATAGAAAAATGATCTAGGAATCGGGGATTGTGTCATTTTTTCATTTTCTAACAATAGAAAATAAAAAGTAGCAAAATATCGCTTTTCCGTTTACAGTATATTTTGTATTTTTGAAGCGGACTTCAAAATTAGAAAAATGAAAAAATGATCAATTTTCCTGACCATTTTCTTTTTTTCTATTTTGTCTGTACTTTAAATTATGGAAATATGATAAGGATAAGTAATATTTCCTTTTTCCGTTTTTGCTGGAAAAATGGAAAATTAGATTGGCCGAAGTGTGCACGGACCCAGGTCACATCTGGGAATCACACTTAGGATCTCTCGCACTGAAAGCCACGCACTGACCGTCTATGTGTGCCAATCCCTGGTACCTCATTTTTACACAACAAACTGGAACTTATTCAGTATTTTGGGGCGTTATCTTCTTAAATACAAGAACTTGTTTTTTCAATACTTTCAACAGCCCACGTTCGATATATTAAAATTCCAACACGACTCCGAGCTGAGGCTTTCTGGTCATTTTTCTATATTTGGTTTGGTTTTCTTTATTCTCTAGTCACTAGAGCTTCGGAATAATTTTAGAATTTTAATATATCGAAAACGGGCTATTCCATGGCAGATACCGTAGAAAAACATACTAGCCAACCCCGCCCCGCCCCTCCCTACCCCCCCCCCAGGCCTCCTTTCTTGATACTGACTGTTACTTGCATTAGGGAGCTTAAGCAACGATGACGGTGAAGGCGACGAGAACGGCAAAAAAGGAATAGGGTTAGATTGGCAAAACAACAACTTTGCACGCGCATCACGCTTTTCTGTACATTTCTTTGCTGTCGTTGCACGACTACCTCGTGAAACTTCCTAATTTCACGTTTTGTGACTTTTTTGTAGACGTCGCCGTCGTTGCTGCTTAAGCTCCCTTTTCTATGCTTCTTGAGTCTTTATTTTAACTTCTTTATTTTCTTGGTGATAATTCCCCTTTTTGAGAAAATGTATTTTAATCAAACTGTTGTGTAACTCGGCAACCTTTTGCGGCAGCTTGCGGCGTTGAATAATCTCTAGGACAACAAAATTCTTCATGTCACGGGATTTCCCGAGGTTGGAATAGCCTGAGTATCAGGCCCCTTTTTGTTTCTCCCTTCCCTTTTTATCCAAGAAAATTCTAATCAGCTAAACCTCCGGTTAGCGTTAGAACGGCTAAGGACGCTGTTGAGGCTACAATTGTATCTAAAAATTTTACTGGACCGGCACAGCATGTTCCGCTGACATTCAGGGGCCTTGTCTTTCCGGACTTTCTCGCTAACCAACTTCTCTGAATGGTTTTACTGACTTCTAGAAATATATATCTAGGGGAAAGAATTTTCTTAAGGTATTCAGGTCAGTTTCTCAATAGAGTTAAACAAACTTTGAGCTGGAAATCAATCGTGATGATTAATAGTACAGCCCACGATTCGTAAATATCAAAAACATTTTCTCATTAATATGAGAACACTAGTGTCTGAGCTAAGTTTAGAGCAAAAAAATATTTGATTTTCGTGACAAAATAGGACAAATGAAAAAACAAATTAGCGCTGAGGACAGATTGGCTTTGATTAAGAGGTAGAGACGTTTATTCCGGTTTATGAGTTTTACGTCACCAACGCGGTCACACCTGTCGGCGGCTATGTTTTCATGTAACAGCGTATGTTCCTGTATTATTTATTACAAGGTGGCTTAAAATCTGACTTCTTTTAATTTTTGAAGTAGTTTAAGCGTATTTCCGGATTCTTATTAAAGTAAGAAATGCATAATATGAAATCTTTGTTTTAAAACACACTTTTACTAAGTTTGTTTCCTCGCTAGTCAATCATCCTCAAAACACTGACACACTGTTACAGAAGTGACGTCTTGTTACAAAATCTAAAGAAAATGTTGTGTTACAAGTTTTGTGTTTGGTGAGATGGAACTATGGAGGATTAGTTTTAATGACATGCTTGAATTTTTTTCTTATTTTGGAAAAATATGAGAACACCCATCCTCTTACTGAATCCGTCTTAACTGAAACAGATCTTCTCAGGTGCCCGAGTGACGCATATGTGTCCAATATTTTTCAGCTGTACACAATTATATCATAACTATTGTATACAGTTTTGCTAGCGTGTCGCACAGTGTCCAGTACTTGCACAACATATTTTCTCTCCACAACTTTTCGGTTAACTTAAATCTTAACCATCTCTTTTAACCATTCCCTCCCAGAAAATTACGACAACAGGAAGTGAAACTAGCCTGCGTAGCAAGCGTTTCCTCGCGAGGTTCGTCTAGAAAGCTGGGAGGAGAGCAAAAAAAAATTTTGCTTCCGCTCTAACTTTCGCGCAATAACTCGATTGGAAACGCTTGCTACGCAGGCTAGGAGTTAACTTGACGGATTTCATCCATCCGTCGATTTATCATTAAGAGTAACATAAGGGGAGGATTGTCACCGTTTATCAAAGGTATAAATAATAAGATAGTTCGTTAAAGCTTGAAACGCGTCGGATGCAAGAGAAATAATTTATTATTCTGTATTTCTTGCATTGATAGTAGACATCCGTCAAGCCTTCAAAATGCAGGCCTTGCGGCAGTTTGGTGAAAAGCTGAACACTGCTATTCCGACCGTGCAATCGAAAGTTGAACTCGAACGCTCCAACATAGATTCCACAGATGGACTCGTTGCTTCACAGCCTCGCAGCAGGAGTGGATTTTCCGTCAAGAACATTCTTGCCGTCGAAGATTTAGATAGTGCACTACCCTCAATACCGTGGTCCACCTCTCCTCGTCTACATCACAACCTGTCACCATTGATAACTCCTTGTGCTACATTTAGCCTGTCATTGTGCTCGCTACCTGTGATCTGGACGAGAATTAACCCAGGAATAGAAAGCCTTCAACGTCGGGCGATAGTTGCAAACTTTAGTATAATGAACCAATTATCTGCAGGTAAGAGCACTGGCCTTTTTCCTTAGAACTGATTCCAAGTAATTCAATCTCAAATGCTTTCCTGAAGCCCCTGTGTTGACCCCTGAAAATGTATCCTTGTTGCGTCATATATTTGATCAGACGCAGAGTGACTGATCGTCATGTCTTTAGTTAGACTTCTTGGCTTGTGAAGACTTGTGCCTTCCATTGCCTTTTAGTACTACAGCCTTTGACGTACATTCAGTACAATATCCAAAAAGAAAAAAAATTAGACTTTTTGTCTGTTCTAAGGGAGACGGTGCAGGAAGCAGAGAGGAGTCAAGCATGGAACATGCCGGATTTATCAGTTGTTCACGGGCTTGGGAACCAAAAAAATGTCATTCAGATCTCGGTTAAATCGATGTTCTCCATGAAGTTTTGCTCGAAGATTAATCTCTAGTCTTCAGCTACTCGGTCGTACAATATTATTGGAAATTTCATAATTGAAATGGCTATTCACTCAGTGTTGATTATTATTTCCCTTCTCGTTTTTGTATTATCTTGTTCGTCTAATATGGAGATAAACGTGGGTACACTTATAATAGGTTTAACTGGTTTTTCTTTATGGTGTTGTTTCACCTTTTCAAGGATTTGCATTGTATGCAAATCTCCAGAGAAGACGAATTTCGACCAAGAAAAAACAGCGACCTATGTTTTCACAACAGCAGGTGAAAGCCATAGAAAATGAGTTAGCGAAGCATCGTTACATCACCGAGAATAAACGTGCTGAACTCTCCTCAACATTGAACCTAACAGAAATGCAAGTAAAAACATGGTTCCAGAACAGGCGAACTAAGTGGAGAAAAGACCTTCAAAACTGACTCAGTCGATGTCAGAAGCTCTTTCCAAGACATTTAGTGGTTGATCTGTCTTTATGCCCTTGTTCTCATACATTTGATGTTTCATAACTGAGAAGGACCCGTGTACAGAACTCAACTTGTAACTTTCAACCGTCCCCAAGCACGTCATTTGTTTTTTCTTTGTTTAAGATTCGGTTGCTAAATTAAACCTTGTAGAAATAGAAGTTGTATGAACAGGACACTCGACGCTATGATGATTTTTGTTGTACTATAAATCACCCGGAGTGTAGCACAAAAAGACGAAAATGCCAAGGGCTTGCAATCAGAACAAACATCAGAAGCAAAACTAGACTTCCAAACTTTTAATTAATAGCCTCGAACACAATTAATTTCCAACGAACTTCCACTCTAATTCCATCCTTATCTCTCTCTCCCTGCTAAAAAATTGCAATAATATTAAGTAAATGGGACATATATATATGTTATTCACCGGCTGGGAGGTCCGTATTGGGAGAAACTGTGCCCGAGGTCTTGAGTACCGCCCGACGGACCGCCCGAGGCCGTGGGCCAGGGGCGGTACTCAGACCGAGGTCACAGTTTCTCCCAATACGGACCGACCTACAATAGGGCGGTGAATAACATTTTTATTTTTTTTCCTACTGAGATTTAACAGTTTCAGGAAAATTTTACTTTAGCCTCCAACCTATGTATGTTGAAGAAAGGCGCGTTCGTGTTGATGTTCAAAGCGCGCGAGTCAGCGCGCGATCGATTGCAAACCAAAACAAAACATTACAACATGATTTTTGAACTTGTAATTTATATTATCATAATTAAGCTCTCTTTTAGAATAAAGAAAGGTTTTTGTGTCTTGGTAGATAATTCATAATGTGAGTGTCAAACAAGGATAAAAGAATTGACGAACTTAAAAGCCACAGGAAAGAAAATACAGCAAAAATTTTCTTCGGCTGAATATTTACTTTAAGATTAGAATTCAATAGGTTTATAAAAAGAGCTAATCAAACATACCAGTCTTAGGGTTTTGAATTGAATTCGAATAAAAGAAGACGATGTGGGTAACTAAACAAGTATATAAACAAAGAAATGAAAACGGCGATAACCGACTGCTGGAAAAGTTGTTCGTGTTGTTTATTCAAAATTGAAAGCTAAATGCAATCGTTGACAACAACCTTTTCTGAAAAGTAGAAAACTAGCGGGGCAAAATTCAATGAAAAACAGGAGAATCTACATTCAGACAGCGAAAATGGTCAACAACTTACAAACAGAGCAAAATTGCAGTACTTACAGCGTAGTTTTTAAGCTAGTGAAGCGACATCACAAGCCACCTGTTTTGCTTTACTTTAGCGGTTTTCCTACCCTGCTAGCAGAGTCGCTTCGACCTTTCCTAGATCAGTCGGGAAAGAGGAAGCGACTCTGCCGACATCTTCAAGTTCCTTTGATCTGCCGATCATCCAGCTTTTTGGATGAGTCAGAAGAGTTTTATACTGGATAAACCAGTTTTATCTGTGCACGCACGCATATTCTGGAATTTTGCTGACTCTTTCTGCGCCCACGCTCCATAGGAAAAGAAATAGCTGCCGCTTCAATTTCAGGCGGGAATTTTGAGAAAATTATAGATTGAACGTTCAGTTTTAGAAAATTGGAAAATGTACCCAGATTCGAGATGGATTTTGTTTTGGATTTAACCATGTACTCAGCCGATTTTACTTTCGTGAACGGATCCACAGTCCAGTAAGTGTTACGCGAAGTTTTTCGAAGGATAAACAAATGGGTTTTGAATAACAATCTAAAATTCTGTGTTCGTTATAACATTAATTCAAAATAAGATCATGAGGCTACAGAATCCATGTTGCATTTAAATGATCGATGCTTTTACAGCTGTTTGTGGATAACACCCGACTTGCGATGCCAAAAACGTCTTTAGATTTCGTATTTTTCTACGACGTCAATCAAAATCTGGAGAAGCGGCGCTTTCTTCGCTTTCTCGCCTTTTATACATCTTAGCGAACCTCTTGGGAAACAAAAGTTCGTCGTTCGTGATTTGTGATTGGTGGATTTCGATTCGTTTTGTGTCTTTTGTGCGGTGTTTCTGTGTTTCAAGGTTAGATGCTTTGTTTTTGAAAAGCACCGTACGTTTTGGGTCGTTTTACTTTAGCTATAAGATTTTTCTATCTTCTTTACACTGAAACATGGCAAGTTTAGATTCCAAAGGTGAAATTGTTCCTATAGAGCTTCCAAATCCAGAGGAAACACAGCTACGGAAGGGTGAAAACGAAACGGTACTTTCCCGCTAACATTTACATTTGCTGACAAACACAGTGGATGCTACGGTAACGGTTTGATTGACGTCGCAGAAAAATTTGAATTTGGAGCATGCTCAATATGAATTGTCGAGGATCTCGGCAGAGGTTCCTTCCTCTTCCCGACTTATTTAGGAAGATCGAAGGAGACCCTGTTCGCAGGGTACGGTTTTCCTGGCTGACTTGCTTGATTCTCCCTTCAGATTTTTTGTCTGAATAACAAAATTCACTTTTCCCTAGCTAATGCTAATAATAGCGCCAGTTTTAAAAGAAAAATAGTTAAAAATTACGGGTTTTGTTCATTCACAAACAACGAACAAACTTGTGAATGAAACTGCCAACGATTCCGACCGGGTTAGCGAGCAAGATCATAAAAATCCGCCCGCTCTCGGAACCAATCAGATTGCAGGATTTGGAGGATTCCCCCCGCTAAAAAACGGCATATACTTTTTCTGTCGACTTTGGACCAATAGCGGGGGAATATCGTCGACATGAAATTCATGAGTGAGACGCCTTTTTTAGCCACAACTCCTAAATAAGGAAAAGTTTAGACTTGAACAAACACATTGTAAAGAGGATATTGTGGCGCAATTTTGAGCTGGGGAGAACTGAGAATTGAAAAAATAGGCGTAAAATAAGCGGGGAATATAAACTAGCTAGAATTCCAGCAGGGTGGCGAACTAACTAGTCTTTTGTTTTTTTGACTAATGATTTACTTCAAATTATAATTTTTTTTCCATGCAACTTTTGGGTGAGGCTTGTAATACAATTTATATTATTATATTTGCTGTTTAATAAAGTACCGTATAAATTTAAGTAAGTACACCAGACAAAAGCTTAAAGACACGCTAAAAGCTTTAATTAATAGGAAGATTAAATGTTCTCAGTTGTTTTAAAAGTGCTCAACTCTACTTGCAGCTCACAGCTCACAGCTCACAGCGACAGGTACTTCAGCCAAAAAGGACTGAAGCAAATTTTCTGAGCTGTTTTTTTCATCCTTTTTCTCATTGGCTGAAATCCTCGGCTAACTCTTCGTAACCAGCTAGCGTTGATCAAATTTGGATATTGTTGGCCGATCCTTTTAATAAGATTGACGTCATAGGTATTGACATGGAAAGAAGAGGGAGGCAATGGGAACAGCTGAATTGTTGGTCGTCAGAGTTGGAGAAAATGGCGGAGATTTTACACGCTATGCGAAGACGAAATAACTGAACCACATCCTCAAAAAAGTAGTAAGAATCGACAGAAATATCCCTCAACCGATGACAATGCTATATCGGTAGACTGATAAACATCCCTTCTTATCCCGAAACTGCCGCAGCCGAGAAACAGGCAAACGTTTTGAAGACGGGAACTTGAGTAGATGAAAGTGAGTGAATTTTACGAGATCAGCCGAAGTAAAGAGTTTGGTGATATTAGGAGGGACGGAACCAGAGGACGCCGGTTATGCGCATTAGAGTAGGCACTGTTGCACATATTCAGTAACAGGTAAGATGTTTGTGAAAATAAAAAGTGGTAAGGATGGGCTCTGTATACTAATCCATATACTATGAAACCCGGGGAGGGGGTTACTCCTAGGAATTCTCGGGTCAGGGGGGTTTGACACTCGGTTGTCCAAATCCTGACAATATTTGAGATAAAAACATACGATTCCCCCCTTTTTTCAGCTGGGACGTCACCGTTTATTGTTCTTGAAAGGACAAATACATTTCTTACATTCCCCAATACCCTTTCGTGGTCCTCTTGAAAACTATACTTGATTTCAAGCCATAATGGGCAAATTCTATAGCCGTCGGCTCAAAACCGATACCCTTTGGGGCAATACATACCCGTACAAATGATACAAGGGATATGAAACGAGGGACGCGCGTTTGTAAAAGAAGAATTTTGTTGATATGTATGTCAGCGGTTTGACCCAGGTGGCGTTTCCTCCCGACTATGCCCTAATGAATGGAAATCATAGAACAAGATATTTTGAAGAAACATATCAGCTTAAATAAAACCGTCTTGTATTGGCGATTACAACTACAGTTTTTTTAAGTTGCCAACTAGACAGTCAATGTAGTGTCGAAAAGGACTTGACATATCCTTTACATTCCAAGGTGTGTGTATAAACTGACAAGAAACAGCAGGCGTGACTGCGTGAATTGACGAAGGGCGTGAAACCAAACTGGCGCTAAGCATGTGACAAACACTAATGCAAAATAGGAACATAAGAGCACGATACTCTTGTTAGTAACTAATTTATCTGATTTGTGTGTAGATTACGATTACTACATACAGCATAACACACTTTTCAAATATGAAGTTCCTCAAAGATAATGCGAACGGCAACTATGATAATTCGCCTTTAGCGTTGAATTAGAAATATTGTAGTGATCTAGTTACACTAGTAGCTATAATTATAAAAGAACTGTACGCAACGGAGTGCAATTAGACCAATTAGCTGTTTCTTAACACGTTTTTTTCCAGGAATGGATCCGAGAAATGATGAACTACTAGCTCACCAGTACTGTTAAACTTTAGTTCAGAATAATCACCGGACAAGGTTATCATGTCTGGACTTCTTGGGGAATAAACCAGTTAAAAAAGACACTATCGTTAACTGCAGACGATCAGTGAACTTGTTGACTATTTTAAGGATCATGGCCCGTAAGAGAGGTTGCCACGCCTTTTAAAAACAAAAAAAGGACACGCTTGTTCTATCCTGATTTTAATTTAAATAGCTCTATGAAAGCTTGAACAATTGTATCATATTCCTCGTGGACAACAAAGGGATGCACCGTGTTAACACGTAGCCTATTTTCGGTTTCATTAGCTGGACACACCCAAAATTCTGAGTTATTATTTGGATATTTGTCAGCTTTTAGGCTGACTGGTACCACTTCATTTTTTTGACGTCAAGGAATTAAAGGATTATACATTGAAGGATGGCCATCGCTTAAGTTAGTATTAATTACTTGACTGCTCAAATTATAGTATTTGCACTTTTTAAGAAATTTTTTAACCACAACGTCCGGTAACTTTTCAACTGCTTTGGTGTAGCCTTTTCCTGTAGGAAGGATAACCGGAAGTTTCTTGGGGTAGACATTTGTATCATGGCAAGAGATTAAGTAGAAAAAGCGGAGAATGAACACCGTTTTTCACCTAAGAATTAAACTGCTAATTGCTTTGAGCAAAATGAGTTTAGACAACTGAAAAGCAAAAAACCGTGATGTTTTTTAATCAGAATAGTTTTTTACTTCACATCCTCTGACTTGCATGACTGTCATTAATCCAATGAATTAATTGGATTAAGGGCAAACCCATTACGCAGGCGCAAGGTCTCGTGTCTATTTGAAGAGGGTGAAAAGTGCCTGACGCCGTCCACCCATCTAAATGCTCCAACATGGAATTTATGAAGAGGGTCGCATGCCAACGGTCCCTTAGTACAAGCCCTTTTTCCATCAAAAATATTCTTAATCTCGAAGATGAAAGTAACATGATCGAGCCTCCGCCTCCACTCCAGCCAGCAAACGATTGTGAAGCTGCAGCACTCTACTCGATACCAAGTTCCGTTGTCACTACTCATGTACCTTACAATCCGTCGCCATTTTTAAGCCCTTGTTCGAGTTTCGGTCTGCAACAGTACACACTTCCTTCAACATGGATGAACAGTGGCACAGAGATGGGAAATCCGCGCTGGACAACCAGCGCAGGTCTTATGATGACTCAATTCCCCTCCGGTAAGTGTTTTAGTTCACTTGTGTTGAAAACGATTCACACTTTTTTTAAGACCCGCCATTCCCGGCCTTCCTAATCGTGTTAAGTGTATGTTTAACCTTATTGCATGATAGGTTGACCACCTTTAATCATACTCTTCCTACTTTATTTTTGTCCATCGAAGAGTAGGCGATCAGACTTGGATTTTCAAAAGTCAGGTGCAGGGACTAGCTAGATTTTATAGAATTTGCAGATCTCTTCTCGGTACGTGTGAAATGCATTTCATAGTCTGTAACATATATACGTACTTGCACTAAAAATATCAATCTTGCTGGATGTGGAATGTATATAGAATATAACACTTTATGTCCCTTTTACTTCCTTTATAAATTCTAGTACATGGGCAGAAGTGCATGATGACACTTGCTCCGCCATTGAGGTCTTTTTTGTTGATGTGTCAACAGCTATAGAAATAACAGCTTTATTTTTTAAAAAACACAGGACGAAAAGAGAAAGAATTCAATCATGTTGTCCGGCATTTGCACTTTAAATGAGTGTATTAATTGTACCTTTGGTAGCTGATTAAAATAATTTAATTTGGGACGAGGTGTTTCTCTGCCTAAGTTGCGATCCGTGCTGCGAGCTTTACCGGCAACCGCCGTAACTTAATTAAACGTTGGTGAGTTGAAAGCTACTTGTTTTGAAGTGAGCAGTTACTGTGTGGATAAGAAACATCGTGAACAGTTTGACCAAACCTTGAGCTTCCAAATTATGCTCATTTAATTTCCCTTACGGTAAATAGAAATTAAATAGGGCTTCTCTTTTGGTATAATTAAGAGGAAAACAAAAAAATCGCGTCTGACAGTCCATTACTTCAAATCAAACGCCTCATCTGGTTGTTCAATTTCTTGCCCTCTTTCGCAGGTAACCTTCTACACTGCACATATCTTCACTGTAGGAAGCGAAGAAAACTGTCGACAAAGAAGAAAAAAAGGCCGTTGTTTTCACAACACCAAGTGGAAACCATGGAGAAACAGTTCACGAAGCATCGATACATCACTGAAGACAAGCGAGCGGAACTGTCCTCAGAATTGAGCCTAACAGAAACGCAAGTGAAGACATGGTTCCAGAACAGACGAACTAAGTGGAGAAAAGAACTCAGAGACAAAGTAGAGACGACTGTTTCCCAAACAAGAAAGAAACTTCGGGGAACTATGTCCGCATCAGGAACATATCCAGGGTTTGAACTGCCTTTGGGAACTGCTAGTTTGCCGCAAAGAGAAGTAAAATTATCGACTACTTAGTGTTGACCTTCTCTTGTACTTACCTTGTTTTGCATTTGTATCTCTTGTTTTACTGTGTCAGACAGAAAACAGAGATTGATTGCTGATCATGAACTACCAACCTGTAAGCACAATCAGGACTTTCTTCGTGGCCGTGAAAGGCCTTCTTTTGACCGGTTACTGACGATTACTTAATCAAAGTTTTTGAACGATTGTGTTGCAAAGTTGTACATTGCCGGTTTAAACGCTACCGTGTTCATAATGGATACGATTGCTAAAATGTTAGTAATATTGATTTGAACTAGTTTGCAGTAGTAATTGCTGCATTTTCTTCAACTGAGACTGTCGTGCTTCTTACGTGAAATCTAGCTGAAAACGTAGAAAGTATATTCATTCCTTCTTTTGAAATTATATATCGTTGAATTTTTAAAGTTTGATACTCTTGTGTAATTTGTAATCTTACTAAGTCGTGGCAATTAGGGCAGTAGTTTCTTACAAAGCTTGAGCTGTAATCTAAAGCCTCTTAACTCCTTAAGAAACCGAACTAAGCATTACAACACTAGGCTAGTCAAATGGAGAATTTCTCAAGCCGAATTTTGTAGATGACTCAACAAACATAAGAATCTGACTCGAAGATACGTTTTCCATGATTCGGTCGAGAATTTCCAGGTGACCGACGTATTTAGCCTGCAATATCCTGTTTACATTAGCATAGTCCATATTTAACTATTTTGTACTTTTTTAAAGTTACCATTAAACATATATTTTTATAATGAATATGATATTTTTTAGCTGAGAATGTAATTTCCTTTTTTCCTTTTTTACGGTTTTAACCGCACATATCACTGAAGCCATTGTACCCTGTATAAATACATGAGTAACTACGCAAAAGTCTTCTGTCTGCGTAAAAGAAAGAGAGAATAGACAGAAAAGGTAACTGACAAAATAAGACATAAACACCGCTAGTAAGTGAGGTCTACATGACACAGCTACACAATACACTAAACTGAGGAATAAGAGCAGTTCATTTACTAAGTTTAGTTCGTAACGCACTGAGCAGTTTGAATACGTATTAGTACTGAGTCATGCAGCTAGGAAGACGCCCGTGTATACAGGTAATCTTGAAATAGCTAAAGAATCATATTGTAAACCAAGCATCAAGAAAAAAAAAACTTGACGGCTTCAAATTAACATGCAATCTACTCCCTCAGGCTCCTGACTCCCTGTATTACAACGGAATTGACATTTTTTTGTTAAAACATTCATATTTTTGCTTAATAATATTAGCTTTTGTTTGTGAAAACTGTGGCTTTAGCTGGTTTCTTTTGCTGTTTTTCATACGAAAACAGTCAATTGTCAACGTGTGAAATCAGTGTAGATTTTGACGGTGGTAAAGAGACACCTAGTCCTGTTTGAAGGATAATTGTAGGCGAATTGACTAGTAGAATGAAGAGAACGTTGAGTGTTTATTCAGGACTGCAAAGCGATGGGAGAAAGGTTGTTTGACTCAAACTTAAAGGCATGCCTGTACTTTGTATTTTCAGACAAGGCCCTGGGCTTTGAGGTTAAAAAGGCAAAGAAATAGCATGGATTGCGAATCACTTTCTCTTAACACTACAAGCTATTTTAACATTTTTCATTCGAAGTTCTACACGTTTAAAAGAGTTGAGAAAACTCTAAAATTTTCCTGGTAACTTTCGATAAGCAGTGCTTACATGAAGAGTTCGAGCAAATGTTTTCGGGGCAGGGGGAAGTCGCTTACAATTTTTAAAAATACTCTCAGTAACTGTATTTATGTATTTGATTTTCTGTCTCTAACAGTTTTGCGGTTATGCATTTTGTTAAAGGCAAACCACTTGATAGTTACGGCTACTCTCGCATTTTTTCAGTTTACGATATATATATTTTTTTGCCACGACACCAAAACAACTAACTGAAGCTAAATTCCCGGTAAATTAAATACCTTAAAGAGATTTACTGTAAACAAGTAATAACTGGGGTAGTCTCAGGGTTGCCTGTAGAACAACGCAACTGAAATGTTCCGTCTTATCTGATGTCCTTGGCGATCTCCATATGATTAAAAGGTTTCTCTAGCTTAGACAAATACAGTATCAAGTTTTGGTGTGTCGAGTTTCAAAGTAAAATTCTTCTTGGAAGCTTTCCAAAGCGCTGCTATCAGAAAATCATGACTGCTATGTCGTCGCAGTGTGACGAAATGTTTCTTGTCGTCCCTGGATGCCGACTGATGTAGATGTTTTTCACCTGAACTGTTCACCTTGGTCACCTTGTCTATGGACTGCAGCACTAGTTGTTCATTCTTCAAAAGGCCTTCATGTTATGCTTAAACGCCTTAAGAAAGGAATAGGAATGCAATAGCCAGTTTGTTTCGCAAGTATATTGTAGAGATAGAAGTTCTCCACCAGTCATTGTTTTTGTATTTTCCCTGTTAAAAACCCTTCTGTTCTATTGTGGTGTTTTTTGCTCCTTTGGTGACCAACGTAGGCTCAGTACCCTGCGAAAAGACACCCTTTGATCTTGTTCAGTTTCAGATTAATGATCTGGCGGGAAAATCGAGGGGCCTCTGCTACCGAGTAGCTGGGTTGGGGTGTTTTGTTTTGTTGCATAGCACGGAGACTACTGGACTCTGTGTTGTAGGTAAAGGATAAGTACAGAAAAACTCAGTAAACCCCACTGAATTTGTTCCAAGATTCCCCAAGACAAAGGCAGCAATCATGCAAATTCGTCCTTATCTTAAAGGTAATTAAGGTACCGGAAATATCTGCGTCCCTTGTAAAATGTTTGCAAGTTGTTGGCCGACATGGCGCCCTTGTGAAACGTAGATTAGCTGCTGATTGTTATCATCCATAGCATTTGGTGAAAAGTGTCAGGAAGAATTAAAGTATTTAACAGTCAGAACTCGTGACATTTATCTCCATTCCACACGTGCAGATCGTCTAATATACCGCCGACCTACCGCGCGCTAAGCGTTTTATTTATCGTACCTACAGCACTGTTAAATAGACTACATGAGTTTCTTTTTTCCCTTGACGACTGGGCCCTTTCTCCGTTTCCCAATCGCCTCATGTACTAGTCAATGTAAACATCCCCCGGAAGGCGACACATACCGGAGATTTTTCAACGGTGAAACCGGGCTACAACCCGGGGGGGGGGAGGTGGGGAGGTACTCGATATATCCTTGGGTGGGGAGGTGCGGCTCGGCCCCTCATACCCTGACCCTGTTTACGACAAAAATCGCTGATTTTCCTACCCTGTTTAAGACAGAATTCCGATTTTTGATACCCAGTTTAAGACATTCGTAGAACATAAGCACAGGCTCTCTATCGTCTAAGAACAGGGTTATGGGCTCCTGCTCCTGCTCCTGCTCCTGTCTAAGAAAAGATGCCCTGTTTAAGACAAACATTGATAAAATCAATACTCTGCTTAAGACAAAAACCCCGAAAAACATACCCTGGCTGGCCGCACGTCCCCATTACGCCCTTATAGGGGAGTACCCCCCCCCGGGGGGCTACAGTTACTGGGGACTTTTACGGATTTTACGTGCCGTTGGAGTAGACCCCCGGAGTGGATCAGGACATTTTTTACCGAGGCAGGGTAAAGAATCGCAATTGAGCAGCAAGGAGTACTGTAGTAAGGCATACATCTTACGGCATACCGTATTTATTCGATTAACCGCTCTAGGCGCTAAATTTTTGAACCTTGAGAGTGGGCGCTTATTCGAGGCTGGGCGCTTATTCGAATAAATAGGGTAAATCTTTAAGGTCGCTGTGAATCAAGGTTATTTTTAACGTAACAAGTTAAATAAACAGAACTTGGACAACAACAACAAAAAAATTGTTAAGGAAATAGCGTGCTTTAGGTCGGTAAATTGCGCAATAAAAGATAAACTGGGCGGGGAAGGATAACGGCGAGGGAGAACACAGACTACGATAAAAAAAAAGTATATAGAAGAGATGACAAAATGAGTATAATAATACATAAAAACCGTTCCGGTTTGAAACGAGAACCTTCTTTTAAAAAACATAATACAGTATATACGTTAGGATCATAGCACTATAAGAATAAAAAAATAAAGCAGATAAATACAATTGGTACTTGAACAAAAAACGGAAGCAGACGCAAAAATCAGTGACTGAGGGTTTGATTTAAAAAAACGATCTGAGAATGTAAAGAGATGATCAAACTTATATATTATTAGTAGTAGTATATATTATGCACCTTTAGAAAAAATGGGGCCAGAAACAGGAGGTTCAGTCAGGGGCCCAGTGTAAGAAGGGGGGCGGGGGGCGGAGTTGCCTGCATATAGGATATCAGCAAGAGCCATAATGCCTCTTGATATCAGTTAGGTACCTTTTCTTTAAATCCTGCCTCACTAACCCCCCTCCCCAACTCCCTCCCAAAAAATTAATAACAAAAAGAAAAAGAAAACCGTGAATTTCAAAACTCATAAGTCCGGATTTGGATTTGGTTTTCATCATCCGTTTTTCCATTTGGAAAACACAAAAAAGACCTTTGCTTTGATTTCAGAAACCCGAATTTGTTTCTTCTCCAAAACGAATCTAACGATTTCTTTGCTGAAATTGGCTGAATATCTAAGGCCTAGGCCAAAGTCGAACTTTTCTTGAGACGAACCAAAGTTAGTGAGTTAAGTTAATGAAAAGTTCGACGTCTAACACGTCTGGCTCGGTTAAGTTCTTGTGAGTGAGTTTGAATCGTCCACGTCGCTCTGCACATGCGACCAACTAAACTAATAAATTAAAATTCGTATTGCATTGCAGAGACACGATGGTGTTCGCAACCTACTTACCTCACTTACTTGCAAGGTTTGCACCGACGTTGAAGTCGAGCCACAACTACAACCTCTCGATAATGAGCGATTCACCCTCAGAAGCGCGGTAACAAGCCCGGAGGCAAGACTGGACTTCAACGCGGGGGACTTTTGATCTCGTGGAGTTACAGCATATTTTTGATGTCACAGTAACGCATGTTAACTCCAAGTGTAACCAGCAGGAGGAGGAGAAAAAGCGGAAGTACCAACAGAGGGTACTCTACGTTGAAATGGGATCTTTCACTCCCCTAGTTTTTGGAACCAACGGTGCTTTTTGGTCTGACTCGGTTGATTGGTTCGACGCGTCCTAAGTTCAACGTCTGACCTAACAGACGATCTTAACGTAATTTAAGTCGACCCCCGGGTGGGGGACTCGGCATATTAAAGGGGTGGGGATGCTCGTCGTCCGCTCACGGGTGTAAATTTCGGATTTTGGTCTCACTTACGGTGTTCTGGGCAAAACGCCATCATATTTAGCCGTGAAGGTCTCGTTTAGGGTTGCACGCGAAAAAATATAAAAAGACATATTTGATACGTATATTTTTTGGTCTCTTTTAGGGGTCAAAAAAAGCCCAGGTCTGCCTCCTTTAGGGGTTTAATTCAAAATTTCCGACGAGCATCCCCACCCCTTTAATATGCGAAGTCTTCCCCCCCCGGGGGTCGACCCAACTTAGAGTTTGGTTCGTATCACGAAATTTCGACGTATGGCCTAGGCCTAAAGCAATCAATATTGGACGGAGTTTGGGAAGATTATCACCCGAGCTATTCTTCTATAAGAGGTATGTTCTTTACTAAAATAGAACCTACTAGCATTCTATTTCAACGACTGTTAACAAAAGAAACTTTATTATCCCATCTAATGAACTCAACTGACTAATTCAATAGCACTCAATTAACTTCATTTGTCTCCTCATGCTACGAATTGAGGGATAAACTTCTCTCCGTGATAATTATACTTACTTTATGAATAGCTTAAAACAAGCAAGTAGTTACTTTAATTCATTTTATTCTATTTAAATCATCTCGGAATTTATAATCAATAATTAGTTATGAAAAGCTTTTGCATTACTGTATTTGTTAAAGTCGGGCAAATAAAGCTTGTTGCTGTTGGAGACTAACCTGTCATTCAAAACCATTAATGGACCATTTTAATTTTAGTCATTAAAATGGGCTTTCTTCCAAATCTCTGCGAGATAAATCACAACATGCCGCGAGTTTTAATTTTGGATGTTATCAACAATCTTGTTTTCGTATGCACTTGTATGGTCATGTAAATAAAGCTTGTTGTTGTTGCTTCACCTTTTTTTGCGACTTTATGTGGGTCAGTTTTAGTAGCCAAGTTCCTCAGCCTCTGATGAGCTGTGATGAGTTGTTTCAGACACCGTCATATACAACCAACTATCTATAAGCTATATTGAAATGTGCGGATTATTTAGCCCTACAGTTTCATTAAAAACCATGCAGTGGGTTATCAGAAATGCAAAATCCGTTGAATATAAATTGATGATGTATTAAATTTCAGATTTGTACCTGAAAGGTGGTCAGCAGTTGTGTAACAAAACTTTAAATGTGAAACTCCCTTTACATATTTTAGCGTGGTACGGCAGAGGTAAGGGTGACCTCTGTTCAAGACGAAGACGATGGCTTAAGACTATAATTGTCCAAGTAAATAAATAATTGGTCAGCGGATCCTTGACATGGTGTGGACTGTGTACTTGTCGTGGAAGCCGGGTTAGGGTTAGGGTTATCCGCCGTCTCCATGTCTTCTCTCAAGCGTCTCTTGCTGTCCATCAGGACGGTTTCTAGTTTGTCCTTAGCTTCTTTTCTCCACTTTGTTCTTCTGTTTTGGAACCACGTTTTGACTTGCGTTTCTGTGAGGCTAAGATTGGTGGCTAACTCAGCCCTTTTTTCTTCGGACACGTAACGATTCCTGGCAAATTCCAGTTCCAGAGTGTGCACTTGTATTTGGGAAAACAGGGGTCTTTGCTTTTTTTTACGTTGACTGCGTCTTCTTTGAAGATAAGGCGTTGCACCTTGAAAAAAAAAAAGATAAAATAAACATCACTACCATAAACTACTGCATAGACGACGACTAATACTACTACTACTATCTACTACTACTACTACTACTACTCCTCAAGCACTACTTGACTATTAGTATCTCGTAAACTAATAATGATAATAATAATAATAATAATAATTATGATGATGATGATGATAATGCACAAGCGTTCTGGGATGTCCCTCTATTTGCGGAGCACCAAGAAGTTGATGCTCGCATTATCAACCACGAATCAAAGCGAGTCATAAGGCTTGACATGAGCTGCCGATGGGTTTCAAAGCGGGAGAAAAATTGAGGAGGAGAAAACCACGAAATAAGGACCGCTCCGTTGGAATTTAAAGCAGAAGTACCAAGGATATGAAGTAAAACATTATAATATCATAATGGACTTGTTAGGGGGATGGTGCCGAGACTGCAAGCTGCAAAGGAAGTAAGAGTAAGGGAGCCCTTCATAACATGCAGAAGGCTCTACGTATATACCCTCGGGACTAAACATCTCTAGAACCAAGAGCCATGAGGTTGCAACATGAACAATGAAGATCGCTTTCGAAATTATTAACTCTCTTCCTTCAACGTCTTTTGGACTTTTAAAGTTATGAAGTAATCGTCAATTAATTTTTTATCGCTGAATAAGCAATATATTTAAGAGAACTTTAAAGACTTAGTTTATAATTATCCCTTTAGATTCTAGATATCTTAAATAGCTTTATCATTTTTTTTATTATTTAATTATTTTATTTTTGTTTTTTTGGAGCATTATTTATATTGAAAATTTTTAAAATTTATATTATTATACTACGTTCTCACTACAGTTAACTGGTTACGCTCACGTGCAAAGTCAAACTATTTTAACTGTGTATAGCTTAGAAAAGTCTTGACTGCTGCATAATAATAATGATAACTCTGCAAAATAGAAAAGATAGAAGGATCAGTTCTTGTGATCAGAACCTTCTATGGAACTATTGAAGTTGAATTTGCTGGTGAAAAGTGATCGACTTTTCTCCTTAAGTTTCTCTGGTTTCAGCTAGAAAACTAGCTGACTTCGCCGTAGTTTTTAAGGTCAGTTTTCTAGCCTACTCTGGCCTTGATGAGAGAAAGCCAAGAAAGGCGAAAGAAGGCAAAATAACCAGAGACCTTTCGTCAATACACATAGGCATAAAAAACTTACGTTGTGCAATAAATTACCTAGAGTGTACCTGAAGGTTAACTGCGCAAGCGGGTTATACTGCAAAGCTCCTCATGTTGATATGAATAAGAACCTTCTTTAATCAAAAAACCTAAAAATGGCCTTTTACCAACTTTTCACCTGATTTTACATGAAATAGACAGATTTGGTTGTTTTATTCTGAAAAGTGGATTTTTTTCAAAAAGCTTGGTACTTTTCTTAACCCATTCGCTCCTGGAGATTTTGCCGAAAAACGCGTTTTGAAGCTAGTCGAGTGGTTTTCTGGTCACTGTCGTGCTATAAAGAGCTAAAACTTACCACAAACTGGTTTACCGGTCGTACACTTCGCGGCCTTCTGATCCAGATGCAAAATATCAGCTTACGAAGTTCGAGCATGCGCAGAAAGCAAAATTTTGAGATTGGGTTTAAAAGTGACACAGCAGTCTTGACTTTTACTTTTCGCTTTCTCTCCTCCCTTCTTTTTTCGCTTTTCTTGCCTCATTTTTTTTTTCTCTTGCTGGGCATTTAGTAGGCTTCATTTTGGTGGGAAGAGTTTTTAGGAAAGCTTTTAGGATCTTAGGATTAGGTGAAAGGAAAGGTAGGTGGGTAATGGAACAAGATTTTCATGGAGATTTTCAGGTCAATGTCACGTGGTTTTTTGCTTCTTTCTCCGGTGTCCTTGACTGAATTGTGCTCTTTCTGGTATGGTTTGAAAGATCTCTTCACTCTGCACAAGTTAGCGAAGAAAGGTGTCCTTGACCGTTAAAACTGATGACGTCACAAAGGGTAGAAAGGACCTGGATCCGCACGGGCGGTTACCGGCAGTTCAGGGGCGAATGGGTTAAAACAACTTAACTATTGGTTAGAAAAGATACTAGGCAATCATCAGTGTCAAATAACTAACGGAAACAGTGATTGCGATGACGATCGGGTTAACTTTGCTCCCCAGGGCGTGTAGTATCGGTAACCTCTAAGATAATTCCTTTGGGCTTTAGACTGAGGTGACAGCAGTCCCATCAACGCTTCAAATCCATCACTAATCCGTAGGAGAGAAAGTTTGGTCTTTGCGTTAATAGACCTTGATGAGTGCTACATGCCATTGTACTTTAAAATCTCCTGCTTGTATTAACGTGAAAGATGTCTTTTGGAAACCAATAGACGAAACTTATTTTTTCATTCCAATGTAATCCATTGTTACGTCTCCGAAACAAAGCGGTCAGGCCTGAGTCGTCAGTAGTAAATGGGAAGAGGCACTTGCCACTACATGTTTAAGTTTAACTGTATCGCTCTCAAATGATTCTCTTTGAAAAAACCAACCGCTCAAGTAAGACCTGAAGCCAAATTTTTGCAAACAACAATTACTTAACTTATCTCAGAATTAATCAAAAATTATATTTTCAAAAGCTAATAATAGCGAGGTAACTTTTCGGCCGTCATAGTGTAAAGTACAGCTTCATTCCCAGGAAAAAAAAGAAGCGTTTAAAAAAGGTTTTAAAAAATCAGCCCAAATAAGATGTAAGACAGTTCAGCCCGTTCAGCGAGCTTGCCATTGCAGTAACATTTGCATATGTATGTACCCCACCCCCACCCTCAATCAACTTCTCTTCCATCAAAGTCGGGTCTTGTTCGCACGCCATAAATCATAGTTCTTGAGGAATTTTCTTCCTTTTCTTTCGCAGATTCCAGCGTAAAAGTAGATAGCGTAGGTGACAAAGCGGTAAAAACCCTTTTAACCTTGGCTGGAAAGATACGTCGACCCTTCTAGTGTAAAAGTTTCGCAAGTGCACATGTACTAAATAACACCTTTTCGTTTTCATTCACTTACCTGGAAGGAATCTCATAAAGTGGGTTCCAAGCAGCCATGGAGGAAAATTTCTTAAAGCGCTTAGCCTTTGGGTTGTTCTATAACATGCCAAACCAACCTCCACATTAGTATACCGCCCAAACTCTAGCGGCCTAACCACTTGAGGAATGATAGGGAATCTTTGATTGCTCGTATTCTGTGCACATCTGTCCTGCGGTTCTTCGGACAGATTTAAAATGTTTCTTATGGAAAATGGATTTTTAAAAAAAGACTGCGATGGCGGCAGCTCTGTTTGTGTGTCTTGTCCGAAAGACGCCATCGTGCAATGGTGCGATATGATTCTTGACGGTGTTCAAGGCGGTGTATCATAAATGGTGTGAAAAACAGCACTTCTGGCCGTCAGTCGGTCTCCACTTTAAACAGATTGGAGACAGAAAGCCTGCACATTGTTCTCCAATTAGTGAAATCACTCTTTCTACTGCTCTTTGAAATGTAAATTATTAGCATAGTGTCTATTTCCCCCATTAGCTAAAAAAGTATCTACGACTTACATTCCTCTTGCCATTTCAAAGTTCTCTGGCCCAGATATAAAAAAAATATAAAATTAAAATGTTTAAAAAAATAGATGCAATAGTGTACCGATTTCTCTAATGAGATTTTACATTCTCGAACCTTCCGATCTTCCGAAAATCAACTGCAGTTTTTTCTTTTCTTTAAAAACGTTCAAAATGTAAAACATTGCGGTTATGAAACCTTTGTCAAAAGGATTACAAATCTTCCCGATTGGGTCAGTCTCAAGTTTAATAATAAAAAAAACTTGCAAAATATTTGTCTTCCTGATAGGAAGGGGATTGTCCACGTGCCGGTGAACGACCCGACCTATAGCTTATTTACTGTGGAAAGCTGATCGCATTTTTTTTTTTCGAAAAAATTTAAAATAAAGGAATAAAGATATGAAATAACTGGCTTCTACGTTAGGAAAAGATCATAAATAAAGGAAATCAGCTTTGAAGCCATCCGTCTCTCTTGAAAGGAACTTTGTTTTGCCGATTTTATTCAGTCTAAAGTTTTCTATTGACTTTTTTTAAAAAAAGGACACAAACAAAAAATACGCATATGATTCGTCGTCAGTGCAATTTGTCAGGTCAACATATAACTGCCTTGAAAACTGGCCTAAAAAAAATCCTTACTTTCGAAAGCTGTCGCGTTGCAACTTATTTTTTAAATCATTTTGATTTGAGTGTTGTCTGCACACCTCAAGGTCGGACTTTAAGTGCTTTACACTGCCTTTGTCAAAAAAGCTGCTCCATTGAGCAACACCATCTTCGACGTTGAAGTAGTCGTTTCCATAGTGCGGCCTTCTTCTTTAAGTTGCCAAATCAGTCAGAACTAAAAGTTTATATGAGATGTTTTGGGATGTATAAGCCCAAAGTAATATTTACAGACCTTTGAAGGGCACATGGCAATGTTGCAATATTTGTAAGATCATCTCTGTCTCTGTTCGCTGTCTTGCACTTTTTTGAACATCAAAAGTTATGTTTTAGGGTAGTTTAAGTACAGATAAATGATCAGAAGATCAAGAGATCCCAAAATCATTTATATTGAATAACAGTTATTGCTGTTATGAGACCTTGTTGGTCGGTATTTTAGGAATAACGGATGACTGGATAAATTATTTTAGGGATAAGGGATAATTGCCAAAATAGTTTTAGGGATAAGGGCTACTAGAAACTATTTTAGGGAAATTGAAGTTACGATATGTTTCCACATTTATTATAATGATTGGTTGTTATTGATATCGATAGGCAAGAAGGCATAGTTACAGCACCAATGAGAATATTTCCCTCTGTTAAAGTTGGTTATCTGTTCAAAACTTTCTTGTCTTATTATAAAACTGAGTACAGTTTCCAGTATATAAAACATGTCTGTCAAATCTTCTCTAAAATCTCTCAGTTTCATTGCACATCCATCACGGTACTCCTCAAATGTCGACTACATATTAGTGTCTCTCACTCTTATACCTGACCAAAATGTGAACATAACTTCCGCATAGGCAATGAAGTAATCGACGTTGTCCAAAACTATACTTACTTAGGAACTCGTATCACATCTTCCGGAAATTTTACACTTTCGCTTGAACATCGCCGACAAAAAGCTCTTCATGCGCTCTTCAGCCTCAGGCGGTACCCGGATTTGAATGGTCTTAAGCCCTCACCTTCGTGTAAAATTTTTGACTCGATGATTTCACCAATTCTAACCTACAACAGTGAAGTTTGGGGTGCTTTTGCTAAATCAGATTTTAAGTCCTGGGACAGCTCTGCAACTGAAAACCCATTTGCAATTCTGTGAACGTTATTTACAAGTACATAACAAGGCATCTAACATTGCCTGTAGAGCTGAACTCGGTAAATTCCCCATGATCATTGATATAAATAAAAAGATTCTAAATTACATAGACTATCTGATAGGTAAAGATGAAGATTCTATACAACACGTAGTTAAACAGGCCTTAGAAATTTCAATTGACCTTCATCATAACGGAAAAACTAGCTTTTACTCTAATCTCATGAAAATGGTTGACTACTATGATCTAAACTATGACTTTTCCTGTAATTCATTGAGTGACTCAATAGTTAATCGGTATATCGGCATAATGAAAAATAAATACGTCTCTTACTGGAATCAGACCCTTCAACAATCACAAAAACTCAGTTTTTATTGTACAATCAAAGCCTCTCGCCGTACCTAGTTTTAACAAGGAAAAACCCTTCGAGAAAAGCATTAGTTAGATTTAGAATAAGTAGTCATCAACTTAGAATTGAAACAGGTAGATACGAAAAAATCCCTCGCAATGAAGGAATATGTTACTTTTGTACAAGTAACAAAATTGAAGATGAAAATCATTTCTTACTAGATTGTAAGGCTTATTCTCAGATCAGAGACATATCAATTCTCCAAACTAGAAACTAAAATACCTGACTTCAAATCACTTTCACACGATACTTTAATATCTCTTCTTATAAATTCTTCTGATTATGTAATTAACTGCCAATTAGTTTCAGTTATCTCGCAAGGCTTTGAATTAAGAACCAAATTAATATCAATGAATGAATGAATGAGAACTGTAACGTTTTGTAATGTGTAGCACGTACTAATTAGTTGAATTAGTACTTAAATTTAGACTAATAGCTTGTGCAATACTCTAATTCCTTTATGGTCATGCAAATAAAGTATTTGGTGTAAATATCATATTATCCTTTTTCCTTACAGCAGTTTGTGTTCTTCTCAGGTTCGCTTCTTGCTTTGCGCTTGTAACTCTTCAAACTTATTCTTTGCAAAGTTGACATACTTACATGTAAATTCTGTCGGTAATACATGAAGCAGTGTAGGATTTAGTTTTATGTGCTTTAACTGGTTAACATTTTTGGAATAATTTATTTGAAATAACAAACAAACAAACAAAAACACAAAGTGAGAGCATAAGCCTTATTTCGCAAGGCAAAAAAATAGAAAGTAAATTTCAGTAGGAACACTCTCTGTTGTTGAGTGTGATCTGGGGACAAGGATGACTTGTACCACAGTCCTGCATGATCCATGAATTACGCACGAGACAAGAACAGGGCCACAGCCCTACCACAACTTTTATTAAAAGGTTCGTTGCAACAGGGATAAATAGAAGTTCTTAAAGATTTGCCCATGATATACGTTTTAGGGCTGATAAAGGCTAGGGTACAACTAAATATAACTTTCAAAGAGCTAATTTTCTTCTGTCGAGCGTCACTGTTAAAGGGATCATTGCAGCCACTTGTAAGTTTTATTAGTACCTGTTCTAAATATTTCCTTGAAGTAAGCTGCTTTCCGCACTGAATTCCTTGGCGACCTAGGTATTTAATGCAAATTGAACCAAGTTGTCTACACCAAATTAGTATTGTGTCATGTGTGATAGGAATCTAAAATAAGGATCCTCGTGGGGTCTTGCCCCTTAAGTTACCATTGATAAAACAGTACCCATGTGCCGACATCAGTGCTCGCTTCACCATGCTCTCCAAAAGCAGATATCCCAAGAGACAAGTACGATTTGATTACTGTCAACAAATACAGTACCAAAAATCTTACACACCCCATCATCGATATGACAACTTCCCTGACAACATGCACTAACTACACCTTAATCCTTATTCTACATTGTAAAGTACATTTTAGAGACTTAAAAACGGATAATAAGTGTCAATATATTTTTAACAGTTTTTAAAGCGTTACTCTTAGTTTGATGAGGTTTTTAATTCGTTTCATTTTTTGTTGTCGATCGCTCACCTTTCGTTTGTTTTTCAAGTTTAACATTGCAATTTTGAAGAAAAAAGTTCATTTGGCCCTCCCCTCTCTTCGAACTTATTGTGCCATCTCTTTTACGAATTATGAAACATAAAATCATTATAAAACAATGAGAATGCAGACAAACTTTGGTCTATCTCCCTCTGGAAACAGTGTAGGTGGAAAGAAGGGTGGATCTCCACTGCCCTTCTACGTTAAAACTGTATGTACGGTAAGTAAAAATATTGTTAGGTCTTTTTATGTAGTAATTGGATGTTTGGTATCAGCGATTCGATTGGAATACAACCTCTTTTGAGCATATTAAACACCTGTTGGACAGTAAACCACGGGAAGGAAGTCAATTGAGACGCTTCCGAAATGCTATCATAAGAGGAAATGCTTAATTGGTCAATTGAGACACCATTAAATCAAACACATGAGGGATTGCAGGGCACAATGTATAAAGTACAGCATCTCCTGCATCCTCAGCTAATAACATATATATCATGACTAAGATCAGAGAGGATAAAATATCATTTATTGCGTTAACTTACTTCTCACTTACTTATGAGGATAATAATATCGCAAAGATTGATTTAACACATCAGTAGCTCCACGACGCGACGCCTGCCATCCGACTAAAGAAACATTTACTCTTCAGTGTACGGTGTCTCTCATCACCCAGTCATTTAACGGCAGACAACTAAAGCACGCACGCGTAACCTGATATGACATGCTGGAAGGAAAAAAAGGCACTTAACATACATTTCTTAACTAAGAAGTAAAAATTTACCAGTAGTTGTTTGTGTTGTAAATTAAGCCGAATTAAATACTAGCATTCCATTACAATTTTACAGACGTGTTCCTTTATTAAAACCAGTCTGCAATGAGAGAACACAAGGTAGCCAGTAAAAACTCAAGCTCCCCTGCAGCTCAATACGCCTTTTTATACGTCTTTTTCTATCCAAGGTAAAGACGATCTCATTTTTCTAAATTTGATGCTTTTAACCGTTTCTTTGGCACCTTGAAAACATTTTAAGTTAAACAAATGAATGATTCACTTAACTTTTTACATGGAGTTGAGCCAGGTCGGTTCTTTTAAAAGGGGCAATTTATATTGCGAAAGAGGTCACCCCCCTCTAATGGGACAAACCTGTGTGCGAATTCGAAAACGTCACCTGCTAATATTCTTTACTATGATACTGGAAATCCCTGCAACTTAAAACATTTATAAACAAGAGGTCATTTTAAACAAGTGAAGTCGACAGTCACTCACAATCCCTGCGGCCATAAATGGTGGAAATGCTTACCGATCTCCTCGTCTCTTCAGCGATTGTGGAGAACTCTGTGAAAATCAATCAAAGAGAGTTGAGGAGAGTGAAGTAAGACGTACACACTCGCTCAGAGATGAGGTATCATCTTTTTCAGTTCCGAACGCCTTTCAAAAAATTACGACCAGGCCCCGGTTGTTCAAAAGTTGGATAATGCTATACACCGGATAAATCACTATCCAACGGACAAGTGTTAGGGAAACCAATTGGGCTATCCAGTGGATAGTAATTTATTCAGTGGATAGCGTTATCCACTTTTTGAACAACTGGGGCCAGGAAAATACCCCGGGGGGAGGGGGGGTACTCCGCATATAAAAGGGGTGGGATGCTCGTCGTCTCGCTTAGGGGTATGAATTTCAGACTTTGGTCTCGCTTAGGGTGTTCTGGGCAAAACACCATTATATTTAGCCGTAAAAGTCTCTTGTAGGGTTGCACTCGAAGAAATATTAAAAAATTATATATTTTCATTTTGTTTTATTTACTCGATTCATGTAATCAAAGTTTAAAATGATCGCTTTTAGGGGTCAAAAAAAGGTTAGGCCACGCCCATATTGGTCTCCTTTTTATTCAAAACTTCCGACGAGCACCCCCACCCCTTTCGAATGCGGAGTCCCCCCCCCGGGGAAAATACATGAGTATTTCATAATTTTTACACCGGGTTTTTTAACATTTTTATCCCATTTTTGTCGAGACCCTTGTCTGGGAAACGCTATAGATTTTCAACCGCGGCAAATTTTTTTGCTGAAATTTTCACTAGTAATTCTTATCCGTTGTCAAAGATTTCTTGATTGTGATTTGACGATTTCCACGATTACGTTTAAGGTAAACCCAACACTGATCTTCAAATCTGTGGCCGTGAGCAGCGGGTTGTTATCAACCGACTGCGCGCGTGCGCGCGCACAATTCAAGTGCTGTTGTTCACCAGAGCAGTTGACAGTTACTAGTTTTGGTCTTCATCGACTTGACAGGGCTGACTCTTGTTGATATTAGTACTGGTTATGATGTTCTCTAATACTAACAGTTGAATTCTGGTAGAAAATGGACATTAGACGGAAGCTATACTGGATCTGAATCTGATTGCTTAAGAAACAAGGAGGAAAAAGTGAGAATATGTGAATAGTGGGACTACCCTTACACCTTTATCCTGAACACATTGCATTTTCTTACATTCCTTTTTATATGAGTTCTCTTAGTTAACGGGACGAGATTTGTTATGAGAAATTTCAGCCCAGCTATCAGGGTGAAATTAAGGTACGTAATGGCGTGCAGGAAAGGAGTATAACTAGTCATGTATTTCTCTGCTGATTTTCTCTGAAAGTTCTTTCATCATTGCTCAGTTAATGTCAAAATGTAGTCTGAACGGCACGGACTTTTGAACTGAAACTTACTGTGTATTTTACAATCTTTCATCTCTGGGACCGGGCCAGCCTTCTCGGTTGATATGATGACACAAGCACATTGCGATTGCTACAAGGCAAAATGGCGAATTGGCGAGTCTTATCTCTTATACCGAGCAGGGCTAACCGAACTTCTGTAGACGATACCTTAAGATCTTATTCTCCTGGAACACACATTTTTGGTACAGCCGAATGGTTGTTTGGCTTTCAGACTTTCTTTTCGCGACCCCACTGCCAAAACTGATCAACAAGCACTCATGAAATATGGCACTTGCAAGAACTGCCGAAATCAAAGCAGCCACACAACGTAGTACATACACTTGAAGATTTAAACTTGTAGCAAAAAGGCTTTTATCTGAGAAACGAGTAACCACCACGTCCGTTAGGGTAAAGAATGAGAGGTGTTAAACAACTGTAGTAGGTGTGTTGCGCGTTTTGTGAATTGTTTGTCAGAAATTCGCTGGTTGAGAAAAAATCGCTGTCCATAGAAAAAGGGGAATAATTTAAAAAACAAAGCTTTCAGGTCAATTTCTCCATCGATTTATCCGACCACCACCAGGCCACCAAGTTGTTGGCTGTCGTGTGACACCGGTTTCGCAAGTCCCTATTCAGTTACCTGTAGGACGTTTGTTCATGCATGTTAAGGTGCTATTTGTATCGGCCCTTGGTAAAAGGTTACTGGCTGGTTGAAGAGTGAGATATCCTCTCAGTTTTAAAACCCAGATCAATAATTAAGGGCACTGCTGCTAGTGTATTTGTAATTCTCGTAATTCCCATGGGTGCATTGGTGTCAGTATGTGAAGACATCCCTGGCGGCCTCTAATAGTGTATGTTTTTCAAATTTCTTTTTGATTTACTTGCAATTAAACTTAACTCCGATATACCTTTTCCTTTGAGAAATTATACTGATGTCGTTAATTCAAAAGTTCCTGCAGCGCCGGCTTATCCTTGATAACTTCGATCCGCTTCGCCAATAGTAACGTACCTTGAGCGTTTAGATGGGGTTTTAATCATAAGACAAGCAGCTTGTGACCTGGCCACACAGAAAAAAGTTGGTCTATCTAGTAGAGCAATCAAAAGAAACTGATGTATTTCAAACCTTAATTCATACAGCTCCATGGAATAGCACATCATGGCCTTTGCTAGAAATTGCAAGTAATAAATATGAAACGTTTGTGATGGAGTGTAAAATAAAATATACAATTTACTTCATTACAGTCAGCAGTAATAAATAAATAACGATGTTGTGTGTTCTGACGCGAAGAGGGTGTGTGTGTTGTTACTTGATGGTTATAAATATTGCCACCTTATGACTGGTAATCTATTCTGTTAAAACATTATCTTAGATCGCTTACTGTGGAAAAACATAAACGTTGGGATATTACCTCGGCTAAAATTTTTTTGCCTTATAAACAGGATTTTGTAGGTGTTTTAGTCCCATAAACTTCACCTCATTTACATCACAGTATTTTATGCCACTTAATTACACTGAAAATAACATGCGCCATCTTAACGGGATACCCTGCCGTAACTTTTTGTACTTTGTTTCATTTTGTTTCTGTTTGAAAAATAAGGACAACTGTTTTATCAGCCTTCCGCTCGACACGCTAAAGGTCACTTTCAAAAAAGAAAACGCTGGCAATTTGTTCTCAATAGTCAGGATTATTATTAGGTCGTTCGTAACTGGTTTTACTTAGGGTTTGTTCACTTAGATAAGGCTGACAGATTATTGTCAGGAGGTGGAGCACAACCTGCTGAACACCGAACATCAGTAGGACGTTCTTAACCTAACCCGTGAATCTTTTGTTCATTTAAAAACACATGGCTACTTACTCAGTCTGTTAGGAGACAAAAAAATAAGCACCTCTTGTTCAGGGGTTAAGAACTATGTCAGGTGAGTTGTTCTGCTTCATATATCTTTAGTGTATCTGCAACGACACTAGTTTATAAGATATCAATATTATTGTGTATAAAATAATAATAGGTTAGAAGAGCTTTTTTAATCTCATCTAACAAAAACCACGTGTTGGTCGAAGGTCTTTACTGAGGCAGTTAGAAACGACTTGCATCTAGATAACTAGAATGCAACGTAAGCTAGTGCGAAAGAAAAAGTTATAGAAAAATAATGGGCAAAATCGCTCTGCCAACAAGTGTGTACAATCTGAACAAGACGGTGTAATATTGCTTCACATTCGTTCAGTTCCTAATGGAACAAATAAATCTGCTTCATGGTAAAAAAAACTTGAAATTGAAAGTTTAAGTAATTCTCTTCTCCTCCCTTCGAATTTATTCAGATTATTCTAAACTTTTCTAAAGCAATGCTACTAGACGTATGTTGTATATAATTATTTTTTGTTCTAATAAATTGAACAATTTTAGAAATTTTCGTCTAAGGTCGGGATGTTTCATATTTTGGTTCACCCTCTCTCTATGTTTCAATTACAAAGAGACACCCCATGATAAGAAGAAGATTCTAGAGTCGCAAATAATTCAGTGCGACCTCCTTTCTTCAAATGCATTATCACTTGAAGGAGTCAGAGGTAACGTTATCCGGTCCGGGCTGCTCGGAGCACAGTAAAATCATGATAATTGCCTCGTTCGCTGGTTGCTTGGTTAGCATTAAGACGGTTTTAATTTCTGTTCCGAAATATTCGTTCAGAGTGATGTTACTTTTAATTTTGTTGGCTTCCATTTTTGGTCTCCAAACTACAAAATAAGATTTAAGTTCTGGGTTGTAAGTATTTAATAAAATTAGCTCTCAAACACATTTTTTTCACTGTTACAATCATCGAACTCGGTACGCATGCGTAATACAATAAAAATATGCAGTCCGCAAAATTAAAAGACTGTGACCGCACGTTACCGCTTCTAAATCACTGTGCTGGAAATTGACAAGTTAGATATCTGGCGCGATGAAAGGAAAAACGGTGATACCATTCCGAGGCTGCGAGCACCTCAGTCAGAAAAACAAAAGTGCTTACAAAGGTATTTGAAGTTAACGGTGGAAATTTTTTTGGAACCTTCAACATATATTGGGACTTAACAAATGATGCGAATCTGCCCTGGATTCTTGTTAAAATGTGGGTAACCTTTTTCCGGACGCTGAACGGGTAAAAACCAAAGAGCTGACGTAATTTCGCTTGCCGACGGGTTTTTTTGCTGGAAAAATTTTGTGTATTAATGTGTACTAGGAAGGCAACTAAAATACTGATTTCAGCTAGACTGCTGAATTTTTTTTAAGTCAGCTAGAGGTTTCATTAAACCAGACAAACACGTCGTAGACTAAAGTATAGTGTTTATATATAATTTTTCTTCTGAGCTGTTATCGATACTTTATCGCTTTTTAGGCTCAAGAATTAACTGTTTACAGATATGGACGAATTCTGTGAAGAGAACTGAACAAGAAAGAACTACAGAATGGAATAAGTTCAACCAAGTAGAGCTGGATGACATTCTTTATGGATCCTCAATCAACCAACAAGGTTCAATTCAGAAATGTTTGGAGGGGACAAAGTTGCTAAAAGGTATATTAAACTCTGCTGATACTAGTTTTGTCAAAATCTTCAAAACGAAAGAGTTATAGCAAGTTTCGGTCGCAATTAAGGTTTTTTTCTAGGTTTACTAAAGAAAACAGTCCGGTAAACTTGACAGATAAACTATCAGATGAAGTACATTAAGTAAACAACAGTCTAACTATACTGAAGTCCAGAAGGACCAGCTGGGCCGGCTAACATGCATGATTATGTTATTATTGTGTATCAAGTGGGTGTTACCCTGAAAATTTGGAGCAATTTTTTTTAATGAACGAATGTCAAGAGATTTTTTTCATCTTTCTTACGTCTGTACAAGTCTTATTTGGTTATAATTTTTAAGGCTTATCATTGGAGATGTTTGATGTAACTGATTTTGTCAGTACTTCCTTAATAAACACTTTTTTCGGATCTTGGGCTTTAAAAAAGCAAAAAACACTAATTACACACAGGCAATTAAAACTAAAAACTGAAATTCGGTCTTTTACAAGTTCAAAGGACCTTAACAGGTGCAAATGACTGACCATCAGCGCTTCTTTCTGTATCATTAAGCGTCTCTAAAAATGATCGGATTTCTTAGTCCTATACTACAGGAGTGGATGAGAGAGCGGAATAACATACTGTATAGATATAGCGTCAAAACAACTCAGAAAACATTTTGAAAGGTGGGAAAACATTATTGGTTGAAGGATCTGCAAAACTATTTATACCGCACACTTCTACCACTTACGAGGGAATGTTTCAGCTTCATGTATGGTATAAAAAAAAACCCCTTTTTACACAGTCGGAATTTATTGGTGTACACAAATGAAGACATACCCTTAAGCGCCGGGCTGAATGATTTGTTAGATGGCGTATTGTGATTTTTAGGGGAACTTGTTATGACGCTCAATTATGTGTTGCTTTTAATTTTTATTATCCTTGACAGAAGCACTGTATCAGTTAAAACATCGTTTTAAAAAGCATTTGATTTAATCCACAACCGTATTCCCGAAGACTTATTAGGGAAGGCATGCCCTAACAGTAGTCTTTGTTACGAGGAATTCAGTTATTTGTGATTTTGACCCTTGAATTCAGTACTGGTGTAGACTAAATTTAAGGTTTTTGATCAGTACGCATGCGGCCTAGCTTCAGGACTTGTTTACGTCTTCAGTGCATACCTTAGTGACAAGTCTCGACCAGTGACTCAGTATGAGTTAGCATTGACTCCTGTTCAGTGCTTTATTTCTTTTAGGACATGAAATGTATGAAATAGAACTTCTTTCGACAACAGTTGCCACAAATTGTTCAGGTGATTTTGAGGCAAATAAACATAAGAATATGTTTAATACAATGACTGATGTGAACTTTATCCGAGGACTTATTCACAAGTAATCACACTTTTAGGTTACTTTTAACCTTGTTAAAGTCTTAAAGCCAATTAACATATCTTTTATTGATATGTCGTTCATCTAAATGATTCTTTTCTTGACTAAATTGGACTGCATTTCCGTGGCTATTTCGATTAACCTGAAGTCAGTAAAGTTTTCTTTTCTACCATTACATTGCTACTTATTATTTGTCGCCGGATTCTTTTTTTCAGTAATGTTCTAGGCTTTTTATTTCAATGTTTCGTTTTAACTCAAATAACAAAGCGCTAAATATCTTAACGTTTCAGTCCTGAACTCAACCCATTCCTAAATTAGGGATTGAAATAATATTGCATACATTTATAATGAATCCCGTGACAGTTCGAAAAAGCCGATACAATTTAAACTCAAGTTTATTGGTGAACTTTGTTTGTCATTGAAAAAAAAATTAGCCTGTTTAAGTCCCAGTTCAACATCTTCTCGAAGTTTTATTTGCAATGTTCCTCGGTTAAAAATAAAATTGGGGGCAAAGTCGTAAGATAACTTCCTTTCTAATGAATTATCCTGGTTTTATCTGATTTAACTGAATAGTTTTAGGACACTGGGTCATTCGAATTTGTGACGGATATCAACACACAAGAATAAGATTGGCCGTAAACATAGTGATTAATACAAATGTGTCTTGCAAGAAACAGAAGGACACTAATAAAACAGAAATGTGTATAATACAAGGTAGCAACTCATCATTCAATTTAATTAAAGTATCGAATAAATTTGCCATTATATTAGCATCGACATTGACTTTAATTTGGATTGTATATTTTATACGCGCGCTAATTCCTCTAGATCTTATTCGAAAGACAAAACAATTCTAAAAGGTTTAACCATAAGCCCAAAATGTCAATTATGTTGATTTGTGTCGATTATGATCTAGGCATTTTAACTCCGCAATATATGGCTTAGTTCCAAACTTTAACACGATATAATTACTTTTTGTAGAAAATGTAAAATTGGAAAAGTTGCAGGTGCATGGGAACGAATATTATATATTGGCCATGAAAACTCCGGTTCCTTTTTAAAAACAAGATTCATTTTATAGGCGTAGTCTGGCGTTTGTAATGGCGTTCTTATATCCAACTGAGCGCACTTCGCTTAACTTATCAACAGACCCAGTTTCTGCAGGCATTTTAAAGAATCCTTCATACTCCGGGTTCAGTCATCAAACAGATGCGTCTCCCGCACCCATGTGCTTGCCGCAAGGTATTCGGCTTGTGAACAAGGGACACCAAGTTGCTGTGGTATGTTCTCGTTCTTTTATCGCCAAGGGAACGCGTTTTGGACCTTACCAAGGGAGAGTTGTTCGGCCTTCCCAAGTAAAAGAAGGCCAAAATAATGAATTCCTGTGGGAGGTGAGACTAGTTAAGGAGGCAATTTGTCTTGCTGAAATGATTAATTCTTAGAGATTCTCTAGAGATAGAGAAACAACCTCTAACATTTGTTAATATTGAAGTTTTGCTTTTTGTGCCAGTAATCGGGCACGAAATCCTTGTAAACCAGTAGAAAAGTTTCTTGTCACGTTTTCCTATTCCGAAACGATTTCACGGATTGATATTCTTTAAGGCTGTTTATCACTTGTAATCGGAATACACGTACTTAAATTCAAAAGGATAAAAAAAATTATACGATTAGCAATGCTATGTTTAGTAACTATATTTGCGTTTCCTCTTGGGTTATTTCGTGCTAAGGTAAAATTTGGATCAAGTAGGAAAACCTTTGGGCCAAATTACTTCAATTTTTTTACTGCATTTAATATATCTGGAGCTAACACTAGCCAATTGATGCCAAAGTAAAGTGTGAGAGACATGAAACAAACAGAACACTTTATATTGGAAAAACGTGAAATATAGTAAAAACAGGAGACAAAAGAAGGTAAAACTGTGTTTGCTCTCCATTTTCATTAATACAGATTTTTAAAGAAGATGGATGCCTGGCTTATTATATTGATGGCCAAAGAGAGGCACAGAACTGGATGAAACTTGTTAAGTGTGCACGAAACAGTGAAGAGCAAAACCTTGTTTTGGTTCAAGATGGCGACCAGCTGTTTTACGAGTCATGTCGCGATATTTTACATGGAGAAGAACTGTTGGTTTGGTATGGGAACAACTATCACATGTTTATGGGAATTCCAACAGGAATAAAGACTTTCCCGAAAAAGGAAATAAACAACGAAGCTCTGCAAGGTGAGGGGGAGTTGTTTTTAGTTTGAACTCCAGTAATAATTATGTAGAAAGGCGAACTAAGTACGGTTAAAAAAATTTGAAGGACCCATGACGGAATAGTCGAATATGACGTTATTGACTTTCTCAAAAACACTGACCGCGCCGTACCTCCAAAATATAATCAGTTTTCTCTATATATTGATACGTGTAACAAACTTATATATTGGGTGCAAAAGGGAGAGGAAGTCTATGCTAATTGAAGAGTATCTCGGATATGTCACGATCTTGAATACTTTCAGACGTAAAATAGAGCTGGGAATTTTTGAAGATTTAATACGGAGTTTTAATGTTCTCCATCTTGTTTGGTCGCTATTATCTCTCTATTCGCTCTAAAATGAGATAAAGGGAATGAGGATCCAAGTGAATAAGCGAGCGTGCCGTATACCTTAGGGATTCGTTCATGGAATTTAATCCTTCGCGTGTGTTTCGCAGATTAATTTTCCTTTTTTGCAGTTGAGTTTGAACTTTGCCAACTTTCTGCACAGAACTTCTAGATGCGCGCACAACCCGGCACGTGGTATTAAAATTAACTGCAGTTAGTTTCATTGATAGTAAATTAATCACGTTTTTTTACATTCCACCATAGGTCTGTTTGGAAGTTTTTCCTGTGAGCGGTGCGGTAAGGTATTTGCCTACAAATATTACCGTGACCGTCACCTTAAATACACGCGCTGTGTTGATCAAGGAGACCGAAAATTCCCCTGCAGCATGTGTGACCGATCATTTGACAAGCGTGATCGTCTTCGCATTCACGTTTTGCATGTACATGAGAAGCATCGTCCTCATCAATGTACAGTGTGCGGCAAACGTTTCTCACAGTCATCCAGCCTCAACAAACATATGAGAGTTCATAGTGGTGAGAGACCTTACAAGTGTCCACACTGTATCAAGGCTTTCACGGCTTCTTCTATTCTGCGCACACACATCCGTCAGCATAGCGGTGAGAAACCCTTCAAGTGTAGGCACTGCGGACGAGCCTTTGCCTCACACGCGGCTCATGACAGTCACGTGCGTCGAACTCACACTAAAGAGAAACCTTGCGTGTGTGAGTATTGTGGAAAAGCATTCGCGCAGTCGTACGAACTGAAGTTCCACATTAACATGCACACTGGAGCCAAGCCCTACACCTGCGAAAAATGTGGCAGAGCGTTTTCAAGTCCATCGTCACGTGATCGTCATCGTGCCAATTTTGACTGCATTACGAGAAAAAATCGTGCACCTAAGGTTATGCGAAAGACATTAATAAACATCTGAATGTCACTCCTTATCATTAGAGCACAAGACAAAAGAAAAAAAAACATTGACTTCATTATTGCCTTAATTAGTTTCTCGGTTATCTACAAAAAGGTTTTTGATCCACAATGTCAGAAAGTTTAGAAAGTCAGTTAGCGGATTAGATCCATGTAAGCAGGGTTGTTAGATGAGGTTGTCTTTACTGAACTTCTTAACTGGGAGAGATTACGGATGTGCATACAGATAAGTTAATTTTTTACTATGGAAATGGGAGAGTTAATCTGAAACTCAACATGAGAGGGCTCAGTACTGCCTTAAAGAATGTTTTTTAACAAATCTTCTAACCGCCCGCATTTATTTTGCAGTGTAAGACTTAAAACTTACAGCTTTTTATATCGAGAAAAAAGCTAACCAAATGTATCAGAGTTTTCTAGACAGCAAATGCAAATGCAATGCAAATACTAGTCTTCAATCTCCTGTCATTTGTTCGTCAAAAGCGTCACGTTTGTTCCTTTGCCATTGCCTTCTTGGTCTTCCACTTACTGCAATAAATAATTAATCAGAATTAAAAACACATGTATTTAATGCAAACAATTTGTATAATAATGATATTAATAGTAAAAAACAACAACAATCAAATGGAATATTGTCTTTCGGGTGAGCGAAGTCCTGAATGTAGAATGTTGTCAACAACCTGTGCGGCAGTCATCGTCAAAGTGTAAGTCACTCTGTTTCGGGGGCAGAAGCGGAATCATTTGAATCTTGATATTCATGATTCCCGTCATTTTTACCTAAATGATTCATGATTCCTACAAGAATTTTCTTCCAGGAGGATGATGGAGACAAGGCTAGCGGCTCAACATCACTAGATTGCGAGCAGTCTTTTTTTTCTTTGCAAAGTTACTACACGCGAAACGCAAGCCTACGAGCGGCGAAACTATACGGATTTTAAGAGAAAAGGCGGACTGCCAGCAGTCTCCAACATTACAGCCGATTATCACGATCACCTAGCTAGACTGAGACAAAGTTTTTATCGCAGCTAGCATTATCTTACCATTGTTAAAGACGCTGGGTAGTGATCGGGCGGTTTGAATTTTCGAAGACCGAAGACCAAAGGCCGGCGCTTTTCCAACTGAGTTAACCGGGTCGATTTCATAAAATACCAAGAAGGAGGAATACTTAACCCCTTTACACAACTGAAATAATTTCCTGTCAGAAAACCACTGACATTTATCCAATGCAATTTCAAATGCTAGTTAAATGCGGTTTGACTTCGCCTCACCGAGCCACTGGAGAAATATTTGTCAACGCCTCATTGAAAGGTGATTTTGATTTTTACGATCAGTCTTTTCTTTCGAAAGGCGTAAATAAGCTAACACCACAAGCCATTGCAGAACCTGTTGACGAGAAATAATTTTGTTAATGATGTATGAAATAAATCATATATGAACTGCGGAAATGAAATGGAAATGAAGAAATAATCGTTGCAGTGAACGCAATTTATGCAATTGCGCAAAGAAGCCTGAAAAAAATTCAGGACTTCGCGATTACCGGTGCGATGCTCCACCAACTGAGCTATGAAGCCACTGACGTTGGGAGCAGGTAATCTGAACAGATGAAAAACTTTTAGGGGATAAATTATGCCTATATCTACTGTTTAAATAATAAAATACGTTTAACAATAGATAGATAGATAGCTTAGATAGACAGCTTTATTAAAAATCCATTGCAGCCCAAGGGCTGGATTAAGGACTGTACAATACGTTGAATACTAAGACTAACTATTATAAATCAATAACAGTAAATAAATAAAACAAAGGAACAAAGATACTACGTCATGAAATTTAAGAAAATAGCCGCGAATTTACAATAAAACCATTAGAAAATAGCCGCGTTATGCATGATAAAACTATTCATTAGTCTATTTGTTCTACAAAGAGGCACGTTAAAAGCGCGCTTTCTCCTTAAGGCTACAGTACTAAGATTACGTGGCGGCAAAAGGCCATGTAATTTGTGGAGGCTGTTGTCCTTAATCTCATTGAATAGGCGCTCTGTCAGCCATTGGCGCCGTTGATGGAGGGTGGTAATATTGCACTCTTTGAGAGCCTCTTGATAGCCTAAATCTGGGAAAATAATTCTAAGTGCACGGCGCTGAATTTTCTCTAGCTCTTCAGAGAGATACTCAGGCAGACCATTGTGGAAAACTTGGCAGGCATATTCAGACTTGGGCCGGATACACGTAGTATAGAAACAAAGTAGCTGCGCAGGATCTCCTTTTGCACGCTTAAGCTGCCTTAATAGATATAGCCTAGAGGCTCCTTTTTTGATAACATTCTCTATGTGAGCGTTCCACTTTAGATTGTTTGAAATTGTAAGACCAATGCTATATTTAAGTGGTTTTGAATTATATTCTCGTTGGTTGCTCTTGATACCATTAAGGCCTTTTATGTTTGTGAGTCGAGGTCACAACTGAGGTCTAAGATTAGCTTGGTGAGAACCTCTCGAACAGTGAAGAGCAAAGGATCAATAATTAATGTCTTGGCGCAAAAATGTCAATAAAGTATTAAAAGGCCATACTGTGAGCAAACTTAACAAACATGACTTAATTCATCTGTCAATGTAAACGACTTTGAAGGACAGTGATTGGTCCATCTGTGAATGACAAGCATAACGTCATTTTTGTCACTACGTCGTCTATAAGGTCCCTTAATTACAAAGGAGCGACCTCATTTTACACGCCCAAGGTAACTAACCACATTGCCCTAACAAGATGTTGTCGAGAGGAAGCTCTTTTTCAGTTTTTCACCACGCAAATTCTTCAAGCTGTGAACAAAACAAATCGTTTTCAATTAGACGTATTTTACATCTTCAGAGGAGAGTGAAGAAAACCGTGTCTCATCTTCAAGTGACAGTTCGACAAATTTGAGGCGGAGAGTTGCTTTTCTGTGCATACTCGGTTCCCTCTCGTACCTCGAGCTGTACGTCCTCGGTACACCATCACGTTGATAATGTGCAACCAAGCGGCTTTATAAACTGCCAGGCCCTAAGATTCATCCCCTCTACCTACAACTGGAGCGATGGGACTCTTCCTTTCAAGGACCAAGGACTGATTTCTGTTAGGTAAGTAGAAAGAAAACGGATATGGCTTCGCGAAACAATTTAACATCTTCCTATTCATCCAATTGCAACCTTCACCTAAGTTACTGCTTAACGAGAATTTAACATCAGGATTGCTATAATGGGAAACCGAGTCGTAGGATTACTGAGAAGCAGTTTAAGAGCTACAATAGTAGTTGGTTCAGATTCAAGGGAGCTTTTGTTGTTCGCACTTTCATTACCACGCACCATTTCATCCTTTAACAAAAGTACTAGTGGACAGACCAAAATACGTTTTTAGTTGTCAAAATCTCAGTAACATCTTTAATTATTGTTAAAATAGTCCGGAGAAAGAACTTACTTTAAAGCACTGAATGAAGTCAGTTTTCAATGGTGTTATCCTCGGAAAACTTGCAAGATTATTGATGAATGGTACTTGACGCAATATTGAGAAATATCCAAACAAAACTTCCATCCGAGAAAATCAATACAAACATGATAAGATGGTTTTGATTCAGTTGTGCCGAGTGAATTCAGATGATATTTGTTCTGTTAGTTCGATGTTTTTCCTTCTATTAGCGTCTCGCCGTTGTTTGAACTTTAGAATGTTTTCTAACAGAGACCCTTTCCTGCTGAACATCCTGCAGTTTTTGTCCTCTTCCGCACGGTTTTTTGTCATGTTACCGACGACTTTCACTGAGATATCACTCTTAGGAAAATAGTGTTAAAAGCTTGTTAAAATAGATATGAAAAGACTAACTCGAGTACCCGGCAAGTGGTACAAATTGATGGAATCCTTCTTGATGGTTACTTTCTAGGTCTTATGTACTAAGCCGCCGTGAATCACTTTAATAATTGTCTTCAAATGCATACCTAAACACTCGCAATTCAGTGGTTTATTCCTAAAAAAAAAAAATTAGAATAGCTTTATTTGCCCATTTAGAGTTCGCAATCTATTCACATCTCTTTGTGTTGCTCTTTGTCCGAAACATCGAGGATGATATAATATCTTACAGGACCTGTATGTCAACTTCTTCTTGTTTAAAGGATGAATACTGAGGGGAACTCAATGCATTAATGTCATGTCTTTGAAGTAAGTTATTTCATAAATAGTTTTTCAAACACTAGAGGTTGTTTGGTTTGAACTTTACTTAAACTACTCTAACATTCCTATTGAACTGAGAACGAAACCATGACAGTTGATGTTCTGAGCTTCGCTTAAAGTTGTTTATAATCAAGTATGTGAGGGCTTCCACCCAATAAAATATAATTATTTACCTATTCCGAACGTTGGCTTTATTATTTGTTTTTCTTTAAAGATCTTTCCAAAGAAGAAAAAACGTCCAATGCGTAAGAGAAAGCATCCTCCTCTGTTTTCGCCACATCAAATCCAAACCATGGAAAAGGAATTCGCCAAACAGCGCCACGTAACAGAGGACAGTAGAGCTCGTCTAGCTTCAGAGGTGAACTTAACAAAAACGCAAGTGAAAATTTGGTTCCAGAATCGACGAACAAAGTGGAAAAAGGAAATTAAAGATGAAGCGAATGCCACACTCAGGCGCACCTTAAGAGAAATGAAACACGTTTCTCTTGTAACGTAAGGAAATATTCCAGATATTCCTTTTAACCAAAACATTCGATTTGATTCCCTTGTTAATCCGTTCGCAGTTTTGCCGGCACAATATTGTAATATACAGCTGTTTTCTACTTCCAACTTTGAAGGTTCGTATATTGCATAATTTTATCGCTCTCGTATTGTGTGTATTGCTGAAGGTAGCATATCACTTAGTACATTTTCTTTTAGTAGTGGAAAGTCGAACAATTGTTTATGCTATGTCTTGCAATATAGATCACTGAGTTTAGTCAGAAATAATTAAGTTTGCTGTGTATCTCCGTTAAAATTTTATATCTTATCCAAATACTAAAGAAGCTATGGAATAAAGAAATATTTTTTTTCAAACAACTCAAACAGGCTAGTAATCTTTTGTTGTCTATTGCAATTGCAAATATAACTATCATAAGAAATTTCTTGACTGGAGAGCCGCTAGCATCATTATTGGCGCTTCGTTAAATTGTTTTAGGACGAAGAAATGTTTAGTTATCCATATTCTCTTGACAATTTATTGGAAAACCATCGTGGTAGGGTTTACCTATCTAATAAGACATTTTCACACCTATTTCACACATGGGCACCCCATTCATCTCATGATAGGCTTCTGTTTAATCAAATATGTCTTTTTGAAGAACTGTACCCAGATTATTAGATTTTTTAAATGTAAATAAAGGATTAGAGAAAACCGTTGAGTAAGTGACGAGTACTCGGACAATCCGCTATAAAGAGAGATTAGAATTGGCGAGTTCAGTTATTTAATATAATTCTTAACAGGTGTTGCTGTGCCGAACCGGTGCCTTAATGTACACATCATCAAATTTCTTGGAAAATATAGCAGAAAAATAAAACGGTTATCTTTTTTTAAAATTTCTCGTTGATCTGTTTCTTGGATTCTCTGGATAGAGTTACCTTCATCTGAAATACTATTTTCTAGACTGACACTTTCAAAAACTTTCAAAACAAAACAAAACAATTTAAGTGTTAAACATATAGTGGTATAGTTTATAGTGACTTCTTTACTTAGATTTGTTTTGTTCTTAAAGATGGAGTGTACCTATTAACTCGAAGCAGCGCTAACATGTTTCTACACTTGTTTATCAGTTTATGGAAAGACAGAAATTTGGCGTAGATTTTCCAGCCTACATTTATTTAACTATTGGAACGAAGCCAGTAGTTAAACCAATGATAAACATGTTTCCGTAGATATCGTTATTGTCTAACCGTCTCTATTTACCGTATTTATTCGAATAAGCGCCCAAACTTGAATTAGCGCCCACCTCGAATAAGCGCCCACCTCCTCCTCCTCCCAATCAAACTCAAATAAGCGCTCACCCCCACCCCACCCACATGAGTGAATAAATTCTAATAAGAGACTTACCCGAGGACGGAGTTTTCTTCAGAGTATTTTACAGAAACCTTGCTTTGTTACTTCTTCGCGTTTTGTTATTAGCATATATTGTTTCGTTGCAAAATAAACTTACTTCACTTGCTGAAAATGGTGAAAATTTAATAAGCGCCCAGCCTCGAATAAGCGCCCACCTCGAATAAGCGCCCACTCTCAAAGCCCAAAAATTTAATAAGCGCCCAGGGCGGTTAATCGAATAAATACGGTACTTGAATAGTTTTTTTTAACATCAAAAGAAAACTTTGTCATGCCGACATGCAGTGTGGCGACAGAGAACCAAATGTTAAAATGAAAAGAAGAAAAAATACCTTACTTTCATGTTAAACCAGTTAAAATAGAGTGTTGTAAAGTGCTGTATCTGTTTGCCCAAGAACGAGTGACAAGATGACTACACATTATAACTAGAATTTTTAGGAGGGTTGAAATTCTTTTTTTTTTCCCTTTTTATAACTTTTCACTTTCAAGTTCCTTCTCTTTTCATCACGTCATACATAGAAAGGCCTTGTGGTCAGGTCACCATAGGCCGCCGCCTAAGACGCTGGCTTTTTTCGTAATGCAGTTTGTAATCAACTAGTAGCGAAATAAGACATCATTGACAAAGTCAATGCGCCAATATTCACAAGACCTCATTTATTCGTGAATTAAGCCGGAACTGTGCTACAGTTGTGTACCTTTTATTCGAAAGGCCATCGAAGTGTTGACAGACCACCTGGTTTTAAAAATTCTTCTTACAGTTTGATAATACGTCTCCTTGTTCTTTTCTTTCGTTGTTTTGAAAAAAAAATACTTACAAACCAATTTTTTTTCTCTGTGTCGTCTAAAAGGATTAATTTTAAAGAAATTTTGTAATCCAAGAAAAGGATGTGGAAGCTCATATTTGAATGGGCAATTTTCCTAGAATGCTTCTTAGAAGCAGCTATGCCAGATTTCTAACCAAACATTAAGCTTGTTAACTCAGTAACAATTTATGAGAAGGTCCCATCTTTTACTGAAGAAACTGTATCCGTTAGGGAGTAAAAACCTTATGAAGGTTTGTGAAATTGTTGTGGAATCTATTGGTGAAACATTTGTGAAACTTAACAAAAAATTTAACCAAACAAGAAGGCGGAATGACAAATCCTTTAGTTTGAGACACTAAACCCCAAGGAAAGAGGGGAAGGGAATTAAAACAGTATATTCTGTATCAGATTAAAAAGACGCTAAAAGGCTTTTAAAATTAGTATCAGACAAATTATGTCCCATGTCTGTTTTTACTTATCAGGCTCCATATCCATGATCATTGTTTTCACCTTTTCCCATCTCCTCTTCTCCTCGTTTCTCGGACGTCCAATCAGAGTCCTCTTCCTGGGGATCATGGAACGTAAGCAGATATATCCCTGCTTACTCTAGCTTCAGACAGACGTAAATGTATTTAGGAGGCTAAATTTGTAATTGGCCTGGCAATTAAAATAAAACAGCGCTAGACTCTGAATTATGTTCTAGCTGATTGATGTAAACCGTGTAGTGCTTTACAAAAGACAAACAACATGCTAACAAACGTTAAAAGAGAGTGATTGGAATCACGTGACAAGCTGATTGTTAGAGGTGATGCGTCTACGACGCCGCTGTTATGGAAAAGCGGAAGCTTGGACAGGATCGCGTTATATCTAACGGAGCACTTAATACAAAAACCAGTAAAAGAGGTAGAAATGGAAAATGTGTTAATTCATAATAAAACACTGGGCTAGGCCGTTGATTTCAATGTGCTTTCTATTTTTTTTCATTGAATACTTTAGTCCCATATACAGACGGAGAGAAACTTTGTCTTTGGACAGAATGTTGGAAATGGAAACAATAAAGGGACTTGTGTGAAACCTAATAGAGAACGCTTTTTTGTCTTCAGTTTGTTAGTCTTCTTGACCCATTTTTATTGTAAGCTGAATCCATTTAGTGGTGAGCTTTCTAACTGCAATTCAGAGTCAGAGAGGATTGTTTTCAATACATGTAGTGCATAGATTAGAATGACTCATCCACAGACTTTTCAAGACACACGCCCGTTAGATCTATGGTTTCCGACTAAATTATTTACGGTATGTTGTCGCCTTAGTTGGTGCCGATTATTACCTACCATATATATCTGAAAGGGGAAAGAAAAAAAAGTAAATAAAAATCTTACAAGTTCGGTTTTGTAGGTAATAGGGAGCGCAAGGTCTGATCTCGGGTTTGAGCTTCTGGTTATATTCAAAGACATTCTATTTCATTCGTTCACTACAGGGCTTAGCGATAAAGAGAGGCCACTGAAGCTAGACGATAACATGCTTGCTCTCTAAGCCTTAAATCATATTTTAAAGGGGGTGGGAGTTGTCAACGGGTAAGTTCTTTTTTTTTCAGTTAGGCCCGGGTCAAGCGGCGTACTTCACACGAGCCGTACTCAATTCAAATTATGTGGCTTAATTGACTGCTGAATAGATTTCGGCTCGTATGAAGTTAGCTAGCACTAGCACGCCTATTGACTCGGGCCCTTATGGTGTTTTAATTTAATTCTCCTTTTACGACAACGCTATCGGTGGCTATAAAGGGAGCCTAAAGTAACTGACAGAATAAGATTGATAACTGACATCGCAATTCCTTCCCCTGATTGATTTTAATCAAATTACATGTTTTGCAAGGGTAAAATATAGACTGGACTATTGCAGCCTATTTATCTTGACGGGTAGCTTTCTATCTTAATAGTACAAAGTAATTTATAATGATTTTCCCGTTAATGGCTGGTTGTAATTGCAACAGTTCCACAATGCAGACTTTGACTTAGCTACATTATTTTCCTTATATAAGTAACCCTATTGTCTGATGATAGCCGGCTCTCGAAAACCTGTACACTCAGTGAGGGAGCATAACAAAAATACCATTTTTCATCGGATGGGTGGCGATTGGTGCATTTGAGAATGACAAACACATGCGACGCCAACAAGGATCCTCACAAAAGAGCCACCTCATTTTACACGCCCAAGGTTAACACTCACATTGGACCAACAAGATGTCGTCGACAGGATGGACGTTTCCAGTCTTTCGTCAGGTTACTCCTTTAAGATCTGAACCAAATAAATTGTTTTCAATAAAAAATATTTTAGATCTTTCAGAAGAGGGCCAAGAAGGATGTGTTCCATCTTCAAGCAAAATCTCTCAGGGCTGCAATTGTTGCTTCCTGCAGTCTGGGTTCTCGATTCAAGTTCCTGGCGTTCCACCGGCTCCTCCTCTGCACCCAGATCATTTGAATAATATGCCTTTTAGTGGCTTTATGAACTGGCAATATTTTGGATTCACTCCTTCTGTTTATAAGTGGGGCTATGGAACTCCTCTTGTCAAGGAAAAAGCATTTCTACATGGTGAGTAAAATGCTGCCGTGCACGTCTAGTTATCCATTGAAAAATGAAGGTATGAAAACACTGATCTATCCGTAATCGTATCATACTTTACCCTTCTCTTTAAAACTAGCCAGGTTTAACTGATTTACATGAGCTTAACTCGGATTGATTCATGGAACTTCTGAACGAAGATCCAAAGGGTGATTATTTGCGATAGTCTTCAGCCGTCGGTTTAAAGCATAAACTGAGCCGGAAAATATCACGATGTTACTGTCGATAAAAATATCACTTGTGGAAGTTGGAACAACAGGAAATTGAATAATTTGCTGCTAACACTAATCAGTTGCTTCGATACCTTAAACACGTATCAACTTGAATTTTCACAGGCTTGGCCTGTTTGAGTGAAGTATTTTTGTTTTTGATATAAGCTTGCCGCGCACAGGATGCAGATCTTTTTAGTAGATTGACATCGATGGATGCTCTTCGTTGCGTTTTAATTTCTTCGTAGCTCTCTTTGGTTTGTCATAAATATGATGAAAAATACAAGCGTCTCGAAAGTGTCTGGGAAAACTGAACTTATCTCTCTGGAAAAACGGCCGTCGTACACATAAATCGATCATGTATTCTAGCTTCGGTCTAGCTTAGATAACTTGCCTTGGCTTAAGCTTTTTCTCACTAGTAACCTTTATTATTTTTTTTATTTTGCCATTCATGCATTACAGTAAAACCCCGCGTATAAGAATCTGGGTTTTAAAGAACCTGTTAGGCTAAAATTTTCATTTTAAGCCCCCTCCACATAAGCACCTATTAAGGCTAAATCATATCAGTGGAACTGGTTTTAGATGTACTGTATTTGTCCCAAGATTTCAGTTCTTGGTATCAACTTTGAAAAGACAGAGAACTGACTATGAGTTTGTTTGTTATGTTTTGTTAAGGACATACCTGCTCTGTACTGCCTTTAGGCATTACTGTTCGGTATAAATGATTCATATTGTATTATGAGATGATGTTTATAATATATTTAAATGAAATTCATGTGAAAATATAAGAACCTATTGTAAGAACCTTGGTAGTCTAAATTTGCTTTAAGTACCCTTTATATAAGAACCTGTCAAGGCTAAATTAAAAAATGCAGGTTCTTATACGCGGAGTTTTCCTGTATATTCTATACAGTCTACCATGCAATGAATTACTGATTTCCTTGAAGGTTACATTAATTCTTAGTTTACATGATGAGAAGTCACTGTTTACATCTTTACCTGAACTATACATGTAAGTCAATTTTTCTGCTAGTTTTGAAATTACAGAATTGGAATGGGACAAGTTTCTATTTGCGCCACACTTTTGATGTTTATTTCTTGCATTAAAAGTCGCTTCAACTCAGCATACTCCCTTGTATGTGATCAACTGAAAACCCCCCAAAACACTTGCTACTTATAAGTATCCCTTTAACATTGCTAATTTTTCTTAAGAGCCTCCTTCAATTCACAGTTTATTGTTATCAAAATCTCCTGATCGTTCCATAACATGATTTCTACCTTTAGGAGCTTCCCGAAAGAAGTATAAGCGTTCCTTGCGTAAGAAGAAGCAGCGTCCCTTGTTTTCGCCATACCAAATCCAAATCATGGAAACCGAATTCTCGAAACAGCGCTACATAACGGAAGAAAAGCGAGCTCATCTTGCTCTGAAAGTAAACTTGACGGAAACTCAAGTGACCACTTGGTTCCAGAATAGACGAACAAAGTGGAAAAAGGATAAACGAAATGAAGGGAAGAGTTCTCCAGATGGAAAGTTCACGACATACTTGGAGACAAAGTTTGACAAATTCCTCCTACCACAGAATTTGCCTCGATTCTCTCGTTGAACATTTTGGATTCTTACCAGAATATTTAGCGGCACCAATGTTTTTAAGTTTTGCCAGTTACGTTTCCTTTAACACAAACAAGGTTGCGATAATAATACAGCAGTACCTTAAAGTACTTCACTGGACCAGTTCATTGGGCGTATCTCAGTAGCCCAAATTAAAGAGGTCAAAATAGTCTTTTTTTTGTGGGTGGGGGTTAGTATTTTATATTGGTCTGTTATCTCTGGACTTGTCCATTAGTTTTTCTTTTTTTCTTTTCTGGTAAAAGCTAGGAGAGGGTGTTTCAAGTTTCTTGTGCCAGAAATCCCGTTCATACAACTGCTACATGTATTATATATCAAACCAAATTATCCAAAGTTCATCCTTGTCCAGCGCCTGTTCTTTCTTGAATGAGATATACTGTAAACAACACCCAGTTCCTCTAGTACTAATACGATTTGCTACCAGGTTCTAGCTAGGTTCTGATACGGGTCTATCCAACAAATCATTTTTCGAGGAAACTGTGCTCCCAGAAAGGTGTGAAAACAGCTGTTAAATGGGTGTCAAATACTTCGACAGTGGACATCGCTGGGACAAAGGAAGATCAGCACTGCATACAGGCGAAAATTGAACACAATGATATTATGGTAATGTTTATATGCATACTATATATAAACATCAAAAAAAAAAAATTGAAGTTAATACCTTTCAGTTATCCAGACACCCAGAAGTGCGCTAGAAAAAAAGCAAGACGCAGCCAATATCGCATTATAACACGGTTCTCAAATAAACCTGAAAAATCCTTGAACAAAATGAAAGCTAAAGTTCGCACAGCTTTGGAAATTAAGAGCCTTCTTTATTGTTGTGACCCCCTTTCTTTTGTATGCGCAAACTCTAAATGCTGGGTGAGAATCAATTACAGAATAATCTGTCGGGTTCGAATAAATAAACTTACTGATCAAATGTGTTGTTTTCCTCAGTTTTGATGATAGATCGGCCAAGGTATTCAATCGTCACGATTCGCCAAGAAAAAAATGCTCGATAACGGAAGTATGTCCGACATCCATCCGTTTGCCGAGCATTGAGCCCGCATTTTAGATAACATTTCGTATTTGCCGAGTAAACTAGGTATGCTCCTGATAGTATATGTTACCTAGTTTTTCGGGCGTTGTGGACGTTATACACCTATAGGTGAAGGAGGGCAGAGGGTCTTTCTCATGAACGTGTGCCATGCTCAATTTTGAAATGTTGCCAGCTCCCGTCTCTTTCACTTATTCTTATGTAACCGACGAAATTACATTATTTGCAATTTTCTACAAATGTTTTATAGGTAAAGAGCTATCTGAGTTCTATTTTCGCTGCATCAGTACTGTAATTCAAAATAGTGCATTTTTCATTGAACGATATGGCGTTTTTTCTGGGGGGGTGCTGGGTATGTGTCGCTGGCCTCTCAGAAACCCTTTCTCTGTGGCCATATCATAGACCCCATCTTAGTCACTTTTGGAAAAAAGTAATTTTTGCAATCCCAACTTAGTCACTTTCTGTTTATGCATCTACCTTATAAATCCTTTTATCTTGGTCATTCTGAAATGAACTGGCACTGATGTGCAGTAAATCTAGCTATTTTTAAATCCAAACATACCTGAATTTTCTGACCCACAAAATCCTGAAAATGTGGAACTCATTCTAGTCACTCTTGTAAAAATGCAACCCCATAATAGTCAATCCAGTCGTGAAAATGCGACCCTATTCAGGGGCACATTCCCATTAGCCTACCTCTAGGAAGTACCCCCCGGGGTTTTTTGGTGTCAGGAATTTTAAGTTTCTAGCTTTCTTGCAATTAGCGTTTGAAGCCACGCCAGCGGGAAAACATGATTGCATTCACTTCCGGCATTTTCCGACTTGTTCAGTTTATTAACCATGTTAACTATAACGTAAAGTGAGCCGTTGTGTAACCTTGATGTCACCTGAACTAAAAAAGAGAAAAAAACAAATGACAGTACAATGAATCAAGGTCTGTTTTTAGAGAATGCCAACTCAAGCTGAGAAAATGGCAAAATACACCGTGCAAAACGCTGACTCCTTAATCGATACACAATCTTGAGGCTCTTGTTGCGGCATAAGTTGATGAAAATAACGCAGCCAAAGATGGTTACCAGATAGCTGGTCTGAAGGGAACAGGCTACAAGATAGAGCTCATCAACAAAAATTATGGTCATGTAATTAATCGTCCACAAAACAACACAAAACATGTTGGTTTTGACTCGATACTTACTCTTAGGGAAAAAAAAAACATTTTTACGACGATGTCTTCCCTTCAAGCACTAAGAGGTTTATTCCACATTTTCGCAATGAATGTTCCTTTTTCATGACAGCTCGTGTCTTATTTGTTACGATTGATTCAATCTTGTCCAAAGGTTATCTGTTAATAAAGTGCATACCTTTGCTCACTTTATCTTCTGGCCTTCTCAGATTGTTATACTCTGCTGACTTTTTTGTTGCACGATAACCTTAAATCAAATCATAACCAGGTGTCAGGATTTCTCATTTAGAAGGGAGACAAAATTGAAAGAAATGGCGTGGGCTGACTAAATCGCGATAACTTGTAACATTTTACACAAACACCTTGAATCAGTACTTTTCCCTCGGGAATAATTTTCTCCCTTTACCATGGCTGAAGAATGTTTTCGAGTGATCCACGCACATAAAAGAAAGCAACACACAGTCGAGTTGAGGGTAAGAAACATAAGCACAGCAGTGCGTAATGGGGCGTAATACAATTGCAAAAAGACACCGTCAAATAGCAGACACTTAAGAAAGACAGTGTTCAGTGTTTTTCATATCATGTCATACCAGTGATTTAATCCGGAAACAGTGCTAGCTATCAAATGTTGACAGACCACCCGGCTAGTATACTGTCCAATTTATAGCCTTTTGTCACATTATTCTTACCCGTTTATAATCTAGTTTATCAAGTAATTTCATTTAAATGTTTCTATTGAAATGCAAAGATTGCCTGCAATACTCCTACAATCCTAATTTATATATGGGCAACTCAATTCAATAAATCCAAATGATTATTTTTTTGGTACACAAGAGAAAAAAGGAAACGGATGATTGTCTATTATAGTTGCCTCGTGTCGGCGGGTCAAACCGAAAATATCCCAGAAACAAGAAACTGAAGTAACTAAAGAAGTGTATAAAAGCGAGAAAAATTAGTGTTAACTTGACATAAAAAACTTTTAATAACTTGCAGTTACTGCCCTTCTTTTTCTTTTTCTTTCTTTCTTTTTTTTTTTTTTTTTGTATCACTGCAACAGTCAAACTGCTCAAACGCTCTGTCGTTCCAATGTCTACTGTCCACGGTCCACACCAACCTCGTTTCCAGGTCCTCCCTCTTTCTCCCTCGAGAAACAGAAAGAGAGAAGACCAATACTACTCCAGAATCTGTGAAATGATTTTTTTTCATCCCTGAAAGAACCTCACCTTTTTTACTTCTATTGAATGCTGTCTTCAACACAGTATAGCATCATACTCTAAACGATAAAGGAATAGGTTAAAATATTAGCTTTCAGCCCTGAGCCCCCTTCCCCCTATTCCCCCCGACCCCTAAGTGAGGCTAAAATCATAATTCATTCAAGACGGGAAGCACCCCTTGTCCCAGTATTGCAAGTCCCTCGGCTATTTAACCACTTTAAATCCATTGAACCGATGATACAAATAATCTAATGCTAGAATTCAGGTATTTCAGACAACTGTAACTCATGTTTTTAACTGTGCCGTGTGCACAATGATCTCAGTTTTCTGTCACCTGTTTCGCTGTCTCCACGTTTTGCTTCTCTTTTCTCCTCCCCCCCCCCCAACAAACGCCTAGTACTTAAGCTATTCTTTCACCAGGCTCAGCGCGATTTTCTGTCATTTTTCCTTTCGGCAGACGCTTATTGGCTGAAACACTTAACGGCATGAAATTAAAATGTTACTGCTTTAATCCAGTCCAATATGTGATGCTTTGAAAATCCCCGTCCCCCCTTGAGGGGTGAAGAGGGGTGAGGATGTCGAAGTATTTTTGTCGCCACATGATAAAAATTTTTAGCATTTTACTTCCAGAAGTGGTCAAAGTCACTTTTAAACAAATATTCACCTTGTAAAATGCTACAATTGTACTTCTTGAAATTACTCCTGAAAAGAATTTTTTCGAACTGGTCACAGCACAGCATTTCGTGGCGTGCCATCATTGCTACCCTTCCAGACAGTTTCGCGGTCAGTATCTTTAGAACCTGGGGGAGGGGGGTACTCAACAAATGTTTATGCGGGGAGGCTCCGCCCCGAGGCCCAACCCCTTACCCTTTAATACACCATTTTTCACAAAAAAGGCACTTTATTCGTATACCTTCTCTTGACAAATGGTACTCCTTTCACATACCTTGTTTAGGACTCTGCATTCCTTTTAACTGCTGTAAACTGACACTTTTAAATAGGAGTCAATCACAAAAATAGAACGTTTTCTCGACTTTTAAAGGTATAAATTCATCTGTTAGCCCTTTTGGGCCCTTTTACAGACCCAGATGACAGATTTTTCTACCCTATTATGTAGCTGGTGAAATCTCTGCCCCTTCATATACCTGAATCCTGAAAAAGGTACCCCTTTCGGGTGGAGCCTCTCCGTATGCCCGTATAGGCCATCATAGGGAGTACCCGATCCCCCGGGCTGTAGAAGTTCAACAGGGCAGTAGTCAGTTCTTGTTTTTAAAAATAATGTTTAGTTGCATTACTCTTAGCATTTTCAGTTGCTGCTCAATAAGGATATGTTCCAAATGTCCTTGTAGGTCCACTACTCATTTAATCTCCCTCGCTCATCATCAGTTTCTAACGTATTTCCTAATATTAAACAAAAGAAGCAAGGCTGATTTTACAGTCGGTAATACATATATATATTTTACCAATATTTCGAAAGGCACGGCCTTCTTTCTTCAGGGTCTTACATACAATGATGAGGTTAAGCTAAGGCGTTACAATTTGAA